CTACGGTTACGCAACTTGTACCGAAGAAAAAACGGCTAGTATCAAACGCAGGCTTTGAGAACGCTCACGTGAATTCAGTCCAGCAGATCCATCCAATGAATGAATGACGAAATCGTCAAAGTGAGCAAAGACGCCGTTATAAAAGAGCCTATTTTCCGTCGCAGCGCCAATCTTCAGGGGGGGGGGGGGGGGGGGGCGGCTTAAAGAGATCTGAGCGGCCGTGACCAAACTGTCCAACCGCGCAGCCACAAAAAAAAAAAAAAAAAAAGACGCGCTCGCTCGCACGGTAGCTAGAGCTCATATTTCCTCAAGGACAATTTCATCCCGACGAATATTATATAAGCGCTCTCTCGGCGGGGGAAAAAAAGATAACGACGGCAGAATCTAGTAAACAGACACACCGTCCGGCGTGCATGAACGTACGAGCGGAGGTGCACGCCCGAGAGAGTTTGTGCGCGCGTGCGGGAGCTCGCGTTTAAAAAAAAATAAACAGAAAACACCCAATCGATTCGCGGGTGTGACAAACAAATGTCGCAGCCCACCGTCGAGAAACGCTAATGGCTCCTGCCACTCACACCAGTCGGAACGCCTTCATTAGAGCCCCGACGAACGAACGCTGCATATGCAAACTCCGTTCGGCATCGATTTCAACCTGAACGCGCGTGTTTCGGGCCTAACGCTGCTTGTTCGTCATTTTATTCGCGTATGTTTTTTCATCGGGTTGGTGGCCAGACCAACCGAATCGTTTCTCCGTCTCGCCGGTACCCAAAGTGTCGACGGAAGCAAGCAACCCGGAGCGCGTGGCACAGCGGGAGCACGAAATGAATCCTCGCACCGGCAAGCAGCGATCCGTCATGATGGCGGACCCAGGGCCAAGGCTGTCCAAGGCAGCGCTGTTGCCAGGCGACCGCGCGCACGCACACGCGGGAGCCGAGAGGAGGGAGCGGAAAAGCGCAGGAAAGAGGAGCACCACTGCGCATGCGTCACCCAGTCGCGAGATGCGCCGCCTGCATTTCAAGTTCAAGGTCGGCGCGCAAACAAATTTCTCCCTCCTCCGCGGACCTCCAACGCCGCTGACGTCAATGGAAGCAAAGAGAGGCCGCCCGCTCTTCGCGGAGGAGAAGGCTGCATTGATGACGGCGCTAGCGAATGGACATCAAAAATACGAGAAATGTCGGCAGCCGTCGACCGAGGCTTGCCGAAGAAGAAACTCGCCGCCTGAAAACAACACTCGCCGTCCACCCACCGAGCAAGAAGGCGCCGAAAAGAAGATGGAAATAGAAAAGACAGCGGGGCTTCCGTTGCACAACTGCGGGATTCTAACCGCTGATCACCGCTCATCCACCTCGGGAAGGGGGGCCGCCGACGTTGTTTGTTGATGTTGGCACCCCACCTCCCACCCACCGCTTCGTCAATCCTTTTAGTGCCCAGCTCTTTTTCGTGTCATTTTTTTTTTTTTTTAACCTTCTTTGGATGAATAAACGAACTTTCCAGACCCAACCGCGTGAATGCATGCACAAGCCGTTCGGAACCGGTGGAAGCTATTAACCCCTTCATTATAGACACCAATCATCCGGCAGAAGTTTACGAAGATCAGATCGACTCCACAGTCCACAAGCGCAGTAATCCAAACACAAGTGGTCAGAAAAATTTAAAAAAAAAAAAACGATAAACAAAATGGGAACGCGCGGTGGTACACGCACATACGATCGAACCAATCAATGCAAACGTGAGTTTGGTGTCGCCGGTGTATTACCTGCAGCTGTTGTTATGGGCATACTTGCACGCATGTATCGACAAAAAATACCACCAACAAAAACTCATTTTACCACACACGTACTTTGGCGGATGATTAAATTTATACAAATTTGTACAGTCTAACGCCCGTCTGCTTTTAAATGGTGTCATGTACAAACGGGGCAATTTAACGAGTGGCGCGCGCGAACGTCCACCGTAATTTCGAGCGTGAGTAGGTGCGTCGCCCCAGAAGGAACGAATGGAGGGTTCCGAAGCCAGCCTCCCCCGCGAGAGAATAGGCCAAGGAAGGGGGGATTTTTCCGACGAGCGGCCAGCTGCGTGCCGTCCTTGGCCGTGACACAGCAGAGGTAGTCCAACGGCAGACGGAGAGGCGCCAGCGCCGCAAGGAACGGACGCCCTCTTTTTTTTTCAAGATGGCCGCCCCTGGCTGGCAAGAAGCCCGGGCCTGAGCCGAGCGGGGAGCCAAGCCCAGCAGCCAACAGGACGCGCTGTTTACATCACACGGCCGGGTGCCGCAATAACGCCCCACTCCGCTCCGGACAGCGCGAGCGCCAACAAACAATCGCCCGCTCCTCAAAACGATTCGAAAAGAAAAAGAAAAAAAAAATCAAACAAGAAAACATTCGTAGTTACGTGCGAGGAACACTGAGAGTCTCAACTGTACACGGACTACAGAGAGGAAATTGGTACGCCTAGACTTGGTAGGAAATTAAAGGGCAGCGATAGAATTACTTCCACAGAAAAGCCGCGCGTGTACATACCTCATCCTATCTGGCACGAATTCATGGTAGAAATTGAAGCGCACAATATTTTTCGTGTTTTTCCCATCGGCTATTTAAGCCAACGACGCGACAACCCTGATACTCGGACTCGTCGTTTTCTCAAAATTTACGCAGAGTAAAAAGTAAAAAGAAAGCAGAAACCAAATCACGGGAAACCAGAAGGTAACGCGAGCGGAAAAATATGAAATGGGAAAAAGAGGTGAAACTAATGACGAAAGGAAGAGAGAGAGAGGGGGGATGCGCGCGCAGGCAGGCAGGGCAGCCAGCGGTATGAATGAGCGAACGAACTTGACCTTGAAAAGAGCGCGACCGATTTGATGGTGCGCTTGCCGCTCGCTGGGCCGCGGCGACCGCCAGAAGGACATCCAGGAAAGGAAAGTCCGCCCAAGGTACTAGCGTCGAACTGACATTTGCCCAGGGAAATTGCCGACGGAGGCGAAAGAAAAAGAAAAAGAGCGGCTCTGGGAGGTGACGGAACAGCTGTTGCTAGTCGTGAACGCAAACTCCCAATGCAAGGTGTCCGTGCGCGCAGGATACAACACCTAACCGCGACAGCTTGACGAGTCTTGCACACTATGACGTCTGCGTCCGACCTGCCTGACTAAATTAGCTAATCAGAGAATTGCCACTTTTTTTTTCTTTTTGGCGGTGCCGCAAGTGCGCCAGTTTGACCAGCTTGACAACTCCCACAGAGGGCTTTAAAAACATTACCGAAAATATCCAATAGAGCAATCCCGACTACTGCGGGGGTAAACGAAATATATATATATATATATAATAAGAGTAAGCGTGCTACAAATATTTACCCACAGGAAAACGTATTCGCGTCGCGTGATCCAAACAAAAACAAACCCGACCTGAGAAGAGAAAAATGATAGATACCCGTACCGGTGTCCCAATACTGCACCGATCACTTGTGAGGACTTTATCGGATATGATAACGCTCGAGCGATGCGCTTTCTCCACTGCAATCTACGGCGGAAAAGCCACGAGCGGCATAAATCGAAGGGCACCCTTCGAGAAATCGGGAAATTCGATACAATAACAAAACGCCGCACCTGTACGCCAGAAGACTGGTCGCGTTGTCACGATCGTGTGTGCGCGCCTGCCACTGCGCGCGCGGGGTCCTACGTGGCGAAGTTCACGAACACTCACCTTCGCGAAGGTTCTGCCATGGCGGCCGGGTCCGGACGCTGCGACCGCGACCTCCGAGCGCGGACCCGGGCCCAAAGTAACTGCGTCATTTCTTCCAAGACTCGCCCAAGCGCCGACGGAGGGGGAGAGAGCAGCCTTTTTCACACGAAGCTGAGAGCGACTGAGAACGCGCCGTATCATTGGGACCCGCTGGTTCTCTCCTCCTCCCGCGGCCGCCGCCTCCTCCCCGCTCACCGCCTCGTGTGTCGTCACCGGGAAAACACTTTGCCGCCGCTTCGGCTCTCTCGAGCCGGCGCAGCAGTGGCGCTTACGTAACCCATTCCCTACCTCGCTATTTTCCTCCACTAGGCTTTTGTGTGAGCCCCTCCAAACCACAATCCAGCCAGCACATGTTTTTTTCCACTCCATCTCTCTCGCAAAAAATCCAATCCAAACATCATTAAAAAAAAAAAAAAATCGATCCCCAGTTTGATGTTTATGTTACTGTTCTTCCCATGTTCTGTCGTTGTTGTACCCGAGCTCATGCTTCGGCCCCGAAAAGATGGCGAACGGTGGCGAGCTAGGCGGAAAACGCCGCTCGCGGAAACAGCCAGGAGACCAGCTGATGCCGACGCTCGTTGACAAACAAGTGGCTGCGCTCACTGCGGAGGAGCCAGCGCGCAGGCGCGCGACTGCCTGCCGCTCACGCGAGCGACGGAAGGGTACGCGGGGAACCTGAGATCCCGGGCAGTAGCAGCAGCAGGCAGAGATAAAACAGGATAAAATAGAAGGCGCGATTCTCCGACACGCAGCTGAGGTGTTGATTATGTCGTTCAGGATACCGCGGAACACTGTACCGCGGATTAAAGCCCATGCATCACGTGCTTCCACGTGCGCGTGCAACTTCCAACCTAGCGACAACGGCAACCTGAGATTGTGCCAGTTCTCCCAAATCAGGTGCTTCCTAAAGTGATATCTTGATTAATTATAAGCGTGTATGATAAGCATTTGGATGTCAACAGAACGTTCGCAACACGGATATGACGTTCTCTCGCGCACCGGTAGTACGTCAGAAGCTTGGCGGCAGGTATCGGCAAACATAAACGAGACTGCCACATGCACTAATTACAAGCGCGTGACTTTTAATGAGAGTATTTAGGTGTTTTGCGAAAGGTTAGTAACGAATCGGCTACGTTTTCATTCATTCGCCGGCGTGCGTGCCACATGGCCGTAGCTCGCGAAGTACTGAGTGACACTGAAAAGCCCCTACATTGAGTTGTGGGGCTTCGCAGCTAACAACTATTTGGTATGAAGTGACAAACTTACCTCGGTCGAATTTCTTTCCTTCGGGATCAATATCTTTTACATCGAAAATGTCTTCAAATAAAACACCCGCCATTTTGGATACTGTCACGCCCCAAGTGGCCGATCGAGCGTGTTGTTCACTACGTTCGCAGCGTTCGCAGCGATTTAACGAAACAAGAAATGGTATCGATTTTCTTTCGTGTTAGTGTAAAAGCTATCTTTATTTTTAATTGACAGAAGTTTTATTTCTTTTAAGTAAGCTTTACGTTTTGTTTTGTACGGTCCGGAAACGGAAGCCGAGTTTAGTCGCAGCAAGATCAAAAAGTCATCGAGATTTTTTTGCGACGATGCTTTCAGGGCGTTATCGGAGATAGAGGGTAAATGGTGTCTTATCGGCAAAGTGTGCCGTTGCAGCGTCTCCACACCTTAGGAGCTGCGTCTGCCAAGCCTTGAAACGATGTGACAGAACCGAATGGCTGACCCCCCGCCACGCAGAAATGTCGGCAGCCGGCCGCACAGGCAGCACCTCTCGCCTATGCAAGTGCTCTTGCAAATGGGCTTTCCAAAGCACAGGGCGTAAGTTGAGCATGATTTTATCGCACCCGTCCTCGGGCATCGCTGATGCGTGCAGTTGTGGCGCCGATCGAACTCGAGAGCGCTAATGGGCCATCGTGATGCGAGTCGGACCTAAGCTTCAGCTGGCGAAGCGTCGGCGTAGGTTTCTGCCAATAAAAGATCTACGGCAGAAGGCGACTCAATTGGCTTTTCATGACCCCGAAATGTGCGGGAAAATTGCTAATATCGCTCATAAAATACCACAGGGGTGTCCGTTGCCCGGCAGTTTCGGCACCGTAACACTCATTCGTCTGTGATGCTTTCGCCGTCACGCCTTAGCATGTATACCTTCCTTTCCTTTTTTTTTTTTTTTTTTTGGGGGGGGGGGGGGGGGCCGTTTACTGCATCTTATTCACTTCATTTACCTTCGATCGTGTCTTAGATAGGCTTACTTTATGTAGACGTTCCTTTTTTGTTTTTTTTCTTTAACGAGCCTGATCTTGTGTCTGTCTTTCTCATTGCAGGGAGAAAGCTTTAGCTGCAACGGGAGACAGAGGTGTGCAACTCGCCGCAGATTGGTAAGGGGATTTCCACGTGCATCAGCACAGAGCACAGATTCAACGGTTGTGTCTTTTGAGAGTCAAACTAAGTCAGGTTGCTGGTTCCATATTAAGTTTCAGCTTGGAGCGTTGCTAAGCTGAATTTACTAGTTTTATTTGAAAGAACAGGGCGCACATCACTGTCGTCCCAAGAGCTACGCATAGAGGGATTCTACACGGCGGAGTAGCTTCACCGCACCACAGAGTAATGTTACAGACAGCACAGCGAGTAAACGGGGGAAGGCACAGTGGTTGTGACAGTCACGGGTGGTTGGGGCGCGTGTGATACCAACATTGCAGAAGCTCACTTCCTTCAGTGAGCTGGTGCCGAGCACGTAGGCACGACGTTCAGCCGCTCGTCGTGTATGGCCGTGATGAGTGTATGGCTTGTGCAACTGTTGCAGTTGCCTATGAAGTGACGTGGAACCCGCAGACTGTCCTCACGAGCTTCGCTGCCGTGCTCTGCCGGAGACTGTACTCGATTCAATATGAACCTTGTTCTGACTATTTCTGCTTAGCTGTGGCTTTGCTGATTTTTAAACATTTCGGAAAAAATATGCATACTGTAACGTCCCGAAAGATGCCCCACCCCTGAAAGATAGCCCACCCCATATTTTTGGCAGGATGTGCTTTTTTTTTTTAGAAACATCAGAAGATAGCTCACTTCTAGTGATTGCAGGGCCCTGACCAATGGTGATCTCGGCAGAAATGGTCTGTTACTTAGCCAGGAGAGGAGATAAGCGAACATTGCTGACTGGAAAGGACAGTCGTCTTTGGTTCGTTGCCCCTCAGTGCAGTCGCAAGTTTCGCAGGTCACGAAATCTAGAACTAGCATTTTTTCAACTTCCTTTGATTGCACATCGAAAGTTAGCCCTCTCCATATTTTCACCCAATTTGCTTTCACTTTTAGGTGGGCCACCTTTCAGGATATTACAGTAGAAAAATTCCTGGCCCCTTTCACCGCTCTGTATAATCCGCAAACACCTTTATCACATCAACATTTGTCTTTGGGATATCCAATTTAGCGGAGGTCGCAAGCTTGAGAAGGTGCTTTTCATCAATCAAATATGAGCCTTGGTCGAACGCTGATACAGCATTTGTTTTCAATCTGTGTCCCGCGTTGGCCTTCTTTTAAGTGACACAGAAAGTTCTGCACTACAGCTTTGTTACCCAAAAAGTGTAGAGTGGAGGAGCTGACGTCACATGAGGAAACTTGTGCCGCAAGCACCTAGGCGGACATTTTACGGCGGTCTAATGAACTGTGGGCATGTTAAGAGTATACTCACACTTTGATCCTTAGCTCACTTTTAAAGGTTATCTCCGGTCAATTTTTAATTTGGGATTACGACTGTTTTCAGTTTAAGCAGTGTCCCTGAATTACGAGGTACAATTTTTTTCTATATAGTGTGTAGTCTTATAAGTATCACGGCTCAAAGTGTGGTTCAGGTGCGTCTACGGCAAATCCAAAACTGTTTGCTAGAGGGATGGCAACACTGATCATCAGCCATACGGTTGTGACATAACGTCACGGGTGCTGCGCCAGTGTTCCCTGTCGGATCTCAAAAATCGGTTTTAGTGGAGTATGCGGCTTCGTTTTGACGTAATATTTCAGCTGTGATCATATTTCGTGCCACTAAAACGATACCAGTCATTTATTTTGGTTTTGTTTTTAACCAGAGTTGACTAGCTTACCAGCAGACAGCATTGTTTCTCTTTCAGTGTTAATACTTGTCGCCCTTGCATTTCCTGTAGGTTGCTAGCGCACGTCAATGACCCCACATTGGACGACAGCACTCCCAGGGAATACATCCTTTACCTCTGTCCCGTCGGACCTCTTCTAGAACAGCTACAGAAATTCTTCCTCCAGTCGATGCTCCAGTGCGGGCGGAACGGGGCCCACAATTACCTCCCTCACATCACCCTCTGCTCCTTCTTTCAGGTAAAGTATTGGACTTTATTGATGGTGCTGTTGCTTAAAGGGGCCCTGCAATCCTATTTAAAGGGACACTGACAGGGTATTTATGCTCGCCGAGGATTTTAGTTGTTTGTGACATGTGAGAGTCCAACTACCCAGAACGTAATTTGCGGCTCGAATTTCGGTTTCTTTCCGCCTGAAAACCACCGATTGAGAACTGGACGGTTTGAGTCGCGCTCACTCTCTTTTCCGTGGTCACGGGCCGTTTTCTAAGGTTTAGACGCAACCACCAAATTTAATCAAAGTCGTGGGTCATTGAAGGCACACAGTCAGTACTAAAAATATGAAACCCACTTTTTGTGGCTTCCATAAAGCTTCAAATACGTTGACTAAAAAAAAAAAAGGTTGCACAGACAACCGGAAGTATTCTGCGCATTCACTGCAAAATTCTCAAAATGGCGTCAATTTGTGTTTCATAGTGGGACTCGCGGGTGGCAGCGAATGACGGGCGTGGGACCTCTACTTCAGATTTGTCATTCACGGTACCGGCGAATTCTGTCTGCCTTCGAAAGAAAAGTTTTGGACCGATCAAAAGAATTTATATTCATCCCGACACGCTTGACCAGTAAGCAGATTGCATGAAGACAACGCCAAGTTGTCGTCCTTTCTCGTGGCTGAAGACATCACTCGCTCAAACGTCAAGTACGAAGGGAAATCGACAGCAAACTTTCCGACGTACACTTGGCCCGCTGCATTACTACAAACAAAAGAGTTCCTTCAGTAGCTCAGTGGGAAGACGTCTGCTTCACACGCAACGGGCATGGATTCAGTTCCTAGTAAGGGCATAAAATTTTTTTTTCAAACATTTTGCAATGTTTACATTACTTTTTTTCTTTTTACAATTATCTCTGAAAAAAAAAAAACAATTGTTGTGAACGATGCGTCGCTGAACTAAGTGGTATGAAATTCATTTTTGGCACCTGCGAACTCAATGTAGTCACTTTCCACAAAATGCAAGGAGCATATGAATCCGGTAGCGTCTGCTTTCCAAGGTTCCCGTAACTGTTCTACAGGAATTGCAGCCGGCCATTAATCCCGACCCGTTGATCTTTCGGAAACTTGTGCACTCTGCCGCACAATATGCCACTTTCAGATGCAGGATAGTGAGGCAGCTCTTCATGCAACATCTTGGGAGTATTCTTTTCGGAGCCGATCGCGGGAATTCACCACGGGCACTCACTACTAATTGCCAACACTTAAATGTACAAAACAACTCATCTTGAAGTACAGAACAGCGTGCGTAACAAACATAACTGCAAAGGAATGGCACGGCAAACGAATCCCGCAACACATTTCGTCCGCTGCGCACAAAAGAAAAAAAAATCACACTAATGGGTGTAGTTACGTGACTTCTGCCACTCACTCTCCCCTCTCCACTTCTCCGTGCGGTGCAGGAGTTTCGGCTTCGAGCAGTTGCGTTTTTTGGCTTCATTAACAAAATATGTGACTCTGTAGCAAACTATTAATTGGCTAGTATTCCGACACCATAATAAATCGCCTAACAAAAAATTGAAAAAAAAAAATATTTTGGGGGTGTCAGTGTCCCTTTAAGCGTCTACCTTTTTTGCGGTTTCCACGTCTCTTGTGGTTCGGGCAGCCCAGCGGGCACGGATGGGGTAACTATATATGAGTGCGTCATATTTTAACCGGACGACGTGGAAACCACCTTCTCCTACGGGGTCGGCCCGTGGTGCCAAATGCGCCGCCATAGGAGGAGGAGGTTTCTGGTCAGCTTCTGCCTTACGACTGGTCAAAGCCGCTAAAAGATGTTTTTAGTTGAAATACAAAATATAAGTGGCGCGAACCGTTTCAGTTTTGAAAGTAGCTTTTGTTCAGTATTTTAGATGAGAAAGGAAGCAAATGCAGTTTAGAGGGTATGAAACCATCGACATACCCGCCACCAAGCGGTGGAAAAGGCGGCGCATACTAGAAAGGTGTAGTGGGATCAGGCGCCGATGCGCGCCACGCATTGCTGTGAAGCGGCAAGCATAGAAAGGTCCCAGATGTACGCAGCGGCGTTACAGTCGAATGGGCTGGAGGATCCGACCGGTTTTTAGCGTTCTGAAGGCCTTCAGCGAGCAAGTTTGGTTTGCAGTTTGGCCGTTTGGCGGTTTGGCAGCGCAAAGTGGCTCCCGTTCTGCACTGACCTTTACCCCATGTTTGCTGTCGTTTGTGGCCAATCAAGTGTCCTGCCGAGTTAGTGTTTAGTAGAACAGCAAATGCAATGCGAGCTGCCCTGGTCGCCCGCTTCATCTAGCCTATCCAGCACATGCTTTAGTGGCGCCCTCTTGAGCCAACAACATGGAGTGCGGAGCCGTGAGCGCTCGCTGAGCTCACTACCCCTCCTCTAGTTCATGGCCACCCAAGCCAGGGCCAGGGACGTCATGGAAGAGGTTATTTCTTGCTTGTTTTTATAATTTTAATTTGCCTATAACTTTTAAAATAAACTGAAACTGCCATTTATGAGCGACAGCGGCAACCAGACAACCGGCTTGCCAGTTGTCTGGTTGCTGTTGTCGTTCATATATAGCAGCAATCTTTCCAGCCTTTACACTCTTGTGAAAACCAGAGTGGAAAGGCCGAATTTCTCTAAGCGGTCGTCCTAGAAGTCGTCCTTGAGGTCATCCTAGACGTCGTCAGAGAGGTCGTCCAAGAGGTTGTACAAGAGGTTGTACAAGAGGTCATCCTAGACGTCGTTTCTAAGGTCGTCTTAGGCGGCGTCCTCTAGGCGGCGTCCTTGAGGTCGTCCAAGAAGTCGTCCTAGACTTGCTTATTGCAGGTCTTGCTACTAGAGTTCTGGGCAACAGATGCGATTTTATAGTATAACTTTTGTAATGTATGTCATAGAAGCGCATTTCATCACCCGCGCAGGGACTGCTGAAAACGGCGCTTGAATATGGAGTGCTGCTTCACTTAGGTTTCTGATATAAAAACTGTTAAGCAAGATTGCAAGGCTGAAAGTACCTCGGAGAAGTTACCTCGGAGACACACTCATTCCTTTACATGTGCAATGAGTCTTAACTGTGTGAAATTAGTTGGGTGCAAGGAACATGTTATAGCTAATTAATAGACATTTCCTTAGCAAGGAGGAGAGTGGGTGAATATTAGTCCTGGAATGAAATGATACTCTCTTGGTGACCTCTGGTACCCTTTATGGGGAAAATATTCACAACTGTGAATAAGGCACCAGTATCCAGTGGCAGAAATTCAAAGTGGGGAAAGGATGGGGTTTTGCGCTTATTTAACTCACCTGCCAGAACTATTGTGGCCATGCATCTAAAGCATTAAACAAAGAAATGGGGACAAAAAGCATGGACTTTGTCACAAGCATTTACTTTCTGCAAAAAGAAGTCTTGAGCTGAGCAGTGCAATAATATTTATAGTTATTTCTAACTAAAGCATACCTAGCTAACTTCACAGTCAAAACGTTCCATGATCGTACGCAGGCCCCGGACGACGGAATTGCTCACTTGACGCGAGCGTTACAGCATGTGGTGGACAAACTGAAAGGAGAACTTCCAGACCACATTAAATTGGAGCACTACACGTCCCAGACCTTCCTGGGGCTCTTCGTCGCAGAAGAACACAATGACGTCCTCAAGAAACTGGCAGTCCAGTTTATGAGGGAAGTTTCCGAGTTCAGTAAGTGTACTGCTTTTTTGTTTTGATCTACATGGTCTACATGGCTCAGTCAGGTGGTGGTGGGAGACATTCGGGTTGTTGGTCGCCCATAGAGGTGTTGGGATCCAGTGGCCTTTGGATTTGTGCCATTATTTTCAGGTTTGGATATAAAATTTCTAGGTACAGTCAGCCTCCAGAGAGACATTTAAAGGAATGTGCAATTTCCTTTCATCTCTGGAATTTTAACATAGTTGCTACTTCATTCAGACTTTAGTTATGGCACCACTCCATGTAGGACATATTCACAATAGACCGATTTCACCGGCAAGTCTCGCTACGCTGCCTGTGCCGCGATGCATTGTGGCACCTTTAGCATCTACACAGTAGGGCTGGTGCAATCGCAGGTGGAGATGCGGTAAAGATTTGGCCGACGGCCAGCCTCGCACGGAGGGCGTTAGCGGTGTTGTTCCATTTAAATTCCGCTCCGCGTTTAAGGCAGGTTTCACGTATTGCATTCCTGGCTGCAGCAACAACAGCACCGGACATGAGGGGGCCGGGTTTCATAGCTTTCCAAAAGACTGGCAGTTGAGAGAGAAAAGAATGGATTGCCAAAGTTTACCTAGCTGGCAGTAAGAGACAGTGAATGAGTCTGCTGTGCTTGTTCGAGAAAGCTAGGTAAGCGACGTTGGGTGTGCAAAAACAAACTCTCGCAGATTCTGATTGCCCTGTTGTTGAGAATGGATTAGGACGAAACTGATAGAGCCTGCGGAGTGACCTCTGGGTCGGAGGTGCCGTACAATCGTGCTTGGCTCGGATCGTGTTTGTATCCCGATAACGCGCGGAATCTCGTGTTCGGCAGCGATTCGTTGGAACACACAATCCGTCTTTACCGGTAGCTTTCTGCATCATTGTTTTCTATGTTTACAGTTCTTCAAAGTTTGTGCCCACGACTGGTCACACAAAGCGAAATTATCAAGCTTTTTTTATAGCCTTAGCTCGTTTGCCAAATGCACACACATACGTCGTATAGACGCCTCATACACCTAAGGAGAAATCTGGCGAGCTGGTACCGCGAGATATTTTAAAGTCGGGGTCAAGGTTGAAACATAGAACAGAAGCACGACATAAACTAATGTCGGTGAAGCATATTTCTAACATGTAAACTAATGTCACCTTTACAAATATACCCCAGAATTTTCTGCCAGAGCAAAAAGCCAAATTAAGAACAATATAAAACAGGTTGCGCAACATGTAATGCACCACAAAGCAGGAACGGCATGATCTGAATGTCCACAAGGGCAAATGTTGCTCATCACATTTGTTAGCAAACCCTATATGTATCTAGTATGTCGCCAGAGCTCGCACTAAATGCTAGCCTCGTCTTTAACAAGCAGTCTGGCGGGTCTTTCTAGTTACATTGACAGATGTCGGGCACAAAAGATTGTGCAACATTGATTGTTCCTTCCTGAAACGTGTTTGTGAACAAAACAAAGCGCACATGCAAATCAATCCCGCAGCTAACATGCGTGCCCCTGAACAGCATCACGGCTCAAAAAAGGTCTTAATTAACCCGTAATTTGTTGCTCAAATGGGATTGAATGAACCCATAGTGATATTCTACAGTATTCTTTTCTATGAACTTTGCGGACAAGCCAGTGCCCCTTTGAGTGGGTCGTGTGTGCACATAACTGGTATGGAAAAAAAGCTGGACAACAAACTTATATTTCCCTTGAGTGAAAAAAAAGCGGAACACTTCTGCTGGTTCTGGCGGTGTCGTACGTTAATAATAGGTGAACAAGGCGACGGCAGCAGCTGGGTTTTGGACCTGCATGTATGCACAGCCTCCGCACTTTCACCGCGTCCGTCGCATTCGTGGACTAAAGTTATGGGGCACCCAAGGTGACTTGCTCAAGTTTGCGCATGCGCCAAATGGTTGGTGAGATTGGTCTATCGGACGAAAATGCTCGAGCCGGCAACGTCAGAAGTTGTCGGGGATTTTTGCTAGTCCCGATAAATCTCTCTTGGGACTGCGATTAAATCGTAAATATAATCTAGATTTATTTTATGTCCATCCAAAAAGTAGTTTTAAATTGGTGCTGCAGAATGGACCGATGAAATGGTTGGCCGGTTTCTCGGCAGCTAGAGCAGTGCCTGTAGGCCATTGATTAACTTAAAAAATGTGTCTGAAATTTAGAATCTCGCACCTTTGCCTCATGAGATGCATTTCTTTGAATGCGAGCAACAGTTTTAGGTGTGGCCACGTCCTGAGTTGGCTTTGGGCTGCCGACATGACTGCATGTCGAACATAACAGCAACCGCCAAAACCAAATTCACCCTCCTAATGACTCACAATTATCCCCTTAACTTTCAGTCCGACTATTTGTGCATCTTTTTTTTTTCAGCCAGTGTGACCAGTTGCATGCCATTTTGTAAAGGAGGAGTTGTCACCTTAGCACTACTAACCACTCCTTGTCTTTCTCTCTTTATAGTTGTGTCAGAAATCGGTGCTTTGGATGTTTTGGGGACATGCTTTCCGTGGTGTTCAGCCACATACCCTTCTCTTAGCAAGACTGCTTCACGAAGCAGGCGTAAGCTGGCCCCTTGGCTTCATTCCACTCTTTTCTAAACTCCCTCCCTCTCTCGTAAATTCCGTGAATTCTGTGTTCCTGTATAAATCGCTGCCTGCTTGAAGACTAACAAGGCTGCATGTACTGTTTGAATGACTGAAATGCACACATATATCGGCATGCAATTTAATCTGCCAGGTGTTCATAATAAGCGTTAATATACAGTGTTGTTCCTTCCACATAAATGATGTGTGCTAAAGTTTGAGTACTTTATGTGAGTCACAGTGGCAGGTGAAAGCTAAAACTTTTTTATGGCAGGCTTGTGTCTTTCAGAATCACAGGGCAGGTATGAGACAGAAAGTCAGAGGACTGAGTATTACCTCTACCGCTGTAGATTTAACATCCAACAAAACATTTCCAAAAATTGCTTCTAACATAGGGCTCCAGAAACATTTTGTTTTATAACCTTTGCATCCTATCACTGCCGCCGATTTGCCGTCCAGGCCGAGATTGAACTTTTAAACTTACATAATTTCTATATAAGTTATGTCCCAAAAGTAATAAAAATTAATTTACTGTGGTCCAGAGCACCATATTCTGCAGATGTTGCGTCGTCCATGACACAGGGGCAAGGATGAGGAAAAGAACTTGCACAGTTTCACTCGGTGCAGCAGAGTATGTAGTACTCTGCTGCACCAAGTGTGTCATTCAACTAAAGATGTAGAACCAAATTTTGAATGAAACTAAACAGGAAATCATGAAAAAGGCTAGACACGGTTCACACTCCAAATGAAGGTACCAGATTGTTTTTACAGCGGAGCTTAAGGGCTAGGTTCCCCAAGACCGTGTCCATGTATGTTGACAGAAACCTGCCTGGACAGCTACCGCCTTCTATAAGCGACGGCGGCAAGCACACTACCAGTATGGTTTCCGCCGTCGCTCATAAATGGCGGCAACCATTCCAGCTATAATAGGAGAATGGATAGTTGGGCACGTTGGTGGGAATTCATCGTAGGAAACAACGCAAAAAACAGACGACGACGAAGAAGAAGCACACAGTGTATCGAGTACAGCTCCGCTGGTCTTCTTCACGAGACTGGAAAGGCTGGACGTTTTCTTCTTTTCTCGGGCAGGAGAAAGCTCTTTGTGTTTTTAACTTGCATATGTGGGTGGCATAATTCCAAGACGAAGTGCCAAAGTGTGCAGTGGCACACAAAGAAGGCGAAACCCGTACGAGAGCATGTCAGGGGTGGTATCCATATTGATTGTTTGTTCTTAATCATGGCAGATTGGTTTACAAGGAGCGTTTTTATCATCTGGAGGTACAGTCACTGAAAACATGTTTATTGTGAGGTGCTTGACTGGCTGCTGAAACGAGTTGTGCATGTCCTACTGGATGTTGCTGCATCTCTAATCCTGCACCGTGATAATGCATGCAGCCACAACACACTAACAATATGGGAGCTTCTGGCAGAGAGAAACATACCTGTCCTTCCCTCACCCATCCTACAACCCTGACATGGCCCCCTGCAATATCTTTGCATTTTGTAAAAGGAAAAGACTGTTAAAGGTTGGCCATCACAAAACTCTCAACCCTAAAACACTGCAACAGTTGCGCTGACCACATTCACCGATGAAGACTCAGCACTACTTCCAAGAATGGCAGAACCACTGGAAATAGTTTGTGCTCGCCAGGAGCCTATTTTGAGAGAGATCCAATGTAATGGTAAATTGTATATCTACATGGGCCCTGATAAATTCATCCTCATTACTTTTGGGATGCACCTCTTAGTAGTGTGAAGAGCACAAGTATGTTTCTCTCGCATACACTTTATACGAGGCTTCTATGTAAAAATGTCAAGATGTAAATATTGTAACAAAATAAGTTGGTGGCCTAGTTGGTTAAACATCATAAAATATTAGCACAAAAGAAAGGACAAGGGAGGACGGGACAGGACATTTTAATGAAAGCAAAAAAAAAGACGAAGATAGGTTTATGGGAAAAAGAAAAGGATTTAGAAGGTGCTCTTCGTCGTTCGCTTGCGCAGGAATTCTGAGGCAATTGCACGACGAAAGAACTGTAGAAATTTATGAAGCCCTGGCCATCGCAGGTAGGGGTGAATCCTGCATAAGCACACCATCACTGAACTGGTCACCCAAGGAGCTACAATATCTCCTTATCTCCTTAACTTTATTTTTAACTTAGTTTTTCTGCTCAACCTTTTGTTTTCAAATTTAAAAAAATAATTTTACCTTTATATTTTTTTATCTTTTAATTTTTCATTAGCTTTTTATTTTATCTCAGTCCTCCTTCTAAATCCTTTTCCTTTTTCTTTTTTATATTAATTTATCTTCATAATTTTCTTTCGTTATCTTTTCATTAAAATGTTAGTTGAAAGTAGTGTCTGTCCTGTCCTGTCCTCCCTTGTCCTTTGTCTTTCACGCTTATATTTTATGATGAAAAAATTGTAGTTTGACTCGTGATATGAAAAATGTTTTGTGGAGGCAAATGGTACTGTTGTGATCTTATTTGTACTTCAAGGTTTTCATCTCTAATGTCAAACATGCTCTCTGAAAGACTTACTCTATCCTCTTCTTGCACAAGTTTCTTCTCTAATGTTTGAAGGGTTGGAACATACGCCAGGGGAAAACATTCTGTTTATTATTATTTACGATAACTAAATGACATTTCACACTTTATGGTGCTTGATCTCCTCTTTATGAATCTGGTGTTATATTTTATATAGCCTCTTTTTTATGTTCTGGATGCAATGCACATACGGGAAAAAAAACATGTTCTTGCTGACACATGGAGCATGGTAACATACCTGAAAGAGCCCAGTAAAATGAACTAATTTGCTTCCTTTATACCACTGAGTGCAATGAACAACAAAACAATGTGTGCAAGACTTATTCTACTTTCAAATATTTAAAAATCCAAAAGTGCTTTTTTCAAGTGGCTACCAAAAGTTTATTAAATTTTTAATAAATATCAAAATTATACATTCTAACAAAATCTATATAGTTGCATTCTACTTATTTATGTAGATGCAAAATTTGGTTACTGATAGGACAATATTAAGAACAAATATTCTTACGTGCAAACTGAAGATGCCCCAAAATTACTTTAAGGGTAAGACACATTGGAATATTTCCATAGATCGGTAGCGATACTCTTTCGCGGCGAGAAAAGGAATATTTTGTAATTTTCCATGGGAAATTGAAGCTACAGAAGACTGTTATGAAGAGCAGACGGCTAAGCCTACTTGTCAATGTAAATGTGTTGGCAGGCGACGTCACAATTTAAGAAACCACGCACAGAAACACAGAAAACATGCTCAAATTTACGCCATTTTAAGTTGCGGGGAGGCTTTCAAATTCATACTGTCAAATCTCGTTAATTCAAACTCGAGGGGGACCGAAAGTTTGTTTGAATAAAGCAAAGTTTGAATTACCAGGAGCTTCTTCCCATAGATATGCATAGGATGGGACCTGCATGTTAGTTTGAATTATCCACAAGTTTGAATTAAGAGAGTTAAAATTAATGAGAGTCGACTGTATTTGACTAATTAGCAGTCATAACTGACACTTAATATTTTTATACATTGAATAGGAAGTTTAAAAGACGGTAAAACACTATAATACACAAAATCACATTTTGCTAAATATTGTTTTTCGACCCGCATCCCCCCATAAGGCAGCCTTACAAGATAAGGATATAGGATAGGAAAATTAGCTTCTTTGGCTGCAGGAGGGTTCAAAGGTTCTGTTAATTGGCCAGATTTGATAAACTGGGATTGTCTTGTCTCTACAATTACTGTAGTAGTTTGTTGTCTATAAGATGGGAGTGACAGAGTATTTATGCCCCTTCTGCAGGCATTCAGGTGGAGCCATACCTGAAAGCTCTGCACATTACCCTTGCCTACCAGTTCCAGTTGGAACACTACTCCGTTTTAGAACAGCTGAGCCAAAGCATCGACACCAGTGCATCAGCCTGCTGGGAACTCAGGCTCTACTCACGCGACACCAGGATCAAAGGCAGCGAGGTACTGGAGGTCTTTTTTGTCTTTGTTTTAGTACTGTGGATGACAAATGCTCCCGCTAGATTGTTTGGGATAAAAAGAGATTGAAACTGGGTTTTCTAAGTTTGAGATGGTACGTCCGGGTACGGAAAATGTGCTACGGGATCCTGGTTGAATAGTAGATTGAGCCAGATGTGTTTATGTCTGGTGTTGTTTTCTTCAGCTACTCCACATATCAACAGTTTCGTACACCGTAACGGGAGGCACAGGCACAACTTTAGAATGTGCTTTTCTTGCACAAGTGCTTGTGCGAAGTTGTTACTTTGCGGTGCTATGGTCCTGCATTCGCGATTCGGTTTCACTGCTCAGAACTTGAGAGGTGAAACGCAAGTCATATTTTGTAGTTAGTTAATCAGCATTGCCTTCTTACAGTTTATGGCTACCATTTTTCCTAAGGTCCCCTTTTGACCCTAAAATGTACCGCTATTAATTGCTGCGCAAACGTTTGAGACACTTTCATCGAGCCCGTTCTTTGAAGAATGCAGAAATAGCTCGGTGCTGCTCTGCTCCACCGCGAGATCCCCAAGCGTTCCATGAGGCACTGTGCATTGGTGCAAATAGCGCAACTTTTTAGCACATTATGGGGCTTTACTTCTCACATGTCCCTCCCCCCACTCGCAATGTCAACCTTTTGTGACCTTTGGAATGGGGCATTTCTGTCCTCTCTGGGCATTCCCCGTTACTTGGGAAAGAGACTCTTCATTTCAAGTCCGGTCGCCACCGCCGCACAGTGCTTGCAGTACATATCGAGAACACCACCCTATTTTTCAGGTTATTCTCAAAATCGCCTAGACAACTTTTTTTTTTTTTAGTTTAGATGAGCACACATGTTCTAACATAACTTCGGGAAGCATTCAGAAGAGCGTGTGCTATGCGAAGCGCAAGTTTGTCTGCTTCTTTTGCAGGGGCTGTGGCGACGTCAGAACGTCGCCATAGCTCTCATTGGCCCCGATTGAAGGATAGTGGTTAGACATTGGGGCAGCTTGCTTTAAGGTCTACCCACTTCCCTTTAATTGGAGCTCGGCGTTCTGACGTCACCACAACCCCTGCAAAAGATGCGGACGAACTTGTGCTCTGCATGGTTCCCGACGAGCCGAAAACAGCGGGGCATCTTTTTCGACCTCCCAGCCTCCGGCTTGTGCTCTTTGCCTTCCACCGTACCTTAGCTGCATGTGCAAGCTTGAGGCTCACGAGATATCAAAGCATCATTGAAGGTAGCATGATCACGCCGGATGGGTGGAGGACAGCCGGGACTCGTCCTTGGCGTTTTCGTACTGTCGGTGACCTCGGCGATCCACGTCATGACATTCTCTCGCCGCAGGTGCACAAAGTGCTGTACTCGCACGTGCCAAAGGAGCCCGACGAGCTGGAGCTGCTCATCGGTGACTTTGTGTACGTGAGTGGGGAGCACCTGGGGGCTGCCACGGATGGCTGGGTGGAAGGCACCTCCTGGCTCACGGGCAGCACGGGCTTCTTGCCAAAGAACTATATCGAAAGGACCGCTGAGTCCGACGCCTGGACCCTGCACAGGTGAGGCCACGGTGGCTGGTGGGACGGTTTGCTACAGGTGGACTGCTGCGGTGTGCATAATGGTTCACAGCTCTGAGAAGTGAGGAGGCTATTCCAACTTTTTGCCGCAGACGGACGGCAATGTGTTGCTGGAAAATGACAAGTTTAGCTCGATGACAGCAGGAGACTTCTACTATGTGTGTGAACTTCACGAATCTGAGCGTGACATCGCTGAGGTCTTTCGATGGGGCCACCGCACCCCATATAGGGTGTATTAGAACTGGGAGGTGTGCCATTTGCGTCAGCATCTCCGTAGAAGCTGGGTGTTGTGTGGCCCAATTCTGCCGCAGGGGCCTGGAGTGGCGCCGCCAGTCACAGCGGGCCAGGAGTCCTATCGGGCAGCATTTAGCGAGGCTGGCTTAGGGCATGGGGGTGGGACTACTTGTTTAGCGTTGTGTGTGAAGAGATACAATATTTTGTGGCCGCTAGCTCTACCGAAGAGAAAAAGGACTCGCAACAATGTCAAATACAGCGAAGAAAAAGACGTAGCTGTGGTGTTTTGTGTTGGGGCGCACCGCCGGCTACATCACATGCAAAGAGGAACACTTCTTGTTTCGGACAACAAGCGACACTTCTCTGTTCGCGGAACGGGATTGTCCCATTCAAAGGGGAAAAAAAAAAAACTGGTGCAAGGAAGAAAAAAAAAAAAAGAAGTCAAAGAAAAACGTGTTGCAAGTATGAGATGTCGGAGAAGACAAACTTCTCGAAGTAGGATTGCTCTTCAATAAAGACAGCATCTGAAGTTGCTCTATTTATCTTGCCGCTCTTGGTGTTTTTTTGTCAGATATTTCCTGGTCTATAAGCTCAAGCTGAGGATGAAGAAATCAAGAAATGCTCACATTCATTAATCCATGCTACAGAAAAAATATGTAGTAACACCAGAGCAAAAACAAGGCATTTAAAGGTTAGCAAAATGTACAGCTGCCAAGAAAGTAATTAAAGAGCTTGAAATTAAAGTGGAGAGGAAAGCGTTGCATGTCATATTGCTGCGCGCAGGGCCAAACAAGCAACGCTAGGTCACGGAACTCTAGAAGACTCGCATTTATTCTCACTTGGGCTTAACTTTTATCATTTCGTACTAGTTTCTTGTTCACGAAGAAAAAGCCTTCTCACGTGCCCGGCCAAGATTCGCCGTCCGGAGAGGTATTCTCTACAGAGAGAACTTAAGGGACAGCTACTCGACGAGGCTCCTGGTAATTCTAGTTTTCGAAAGAGATCTTCCAAGCCTGCCACGACGACCCGACATCTGGTCCCTTTGGCTACAGCAGGAATCTCGCAAAGGATCCGAGAGAAGTACTACTGGCCCAAGCTCCCCAAGACTGTCCACCTCTACACACGATTGTGCCACGAGTGTCGGCGATAGAAGAAACCGCCGACGAAGTCTGCAGGCCTGCTGCTGCCGATCGCGCCCCCAAATGCACTGTTCCAGCAAATTGGAATAGATCTACTTAGACTTTTCTTGCCGTCGACGCAGGGAAGCCATTGGATAATCGTGGCAACTGATTATCTCACCCTGTACCTCGAGACAAACATACTCCCGTCGGGAACCGCTGTGGAAGTAGTCAAGTTCTTCATTGAGTCTATCGTCCTCCGATACGGCGCTCCCCTAGTCCTGGTTACGGACCGAGGCTCCTCGTTCATGGCACAGCTGACACAAGAGATACTCCGCCTGAGTCACACCAGCCATCGTCCAACATGGGCATACCACCCGCAGACCAATGGGCTGACGGAGCGAATAGAAAAGATCATCATTGACATGATCTCGATGTATGTGGACATGGAACACAAGACGTGGAATGAGGTGTTGCCCTACGTCACGTTAGCGTACAACACGGCGGTTCAAGAAACCGCTAGGATTACACCTTTTCAGCTGGTGCACAGCAGAAAGGTGACAATGATGCTCGACGCCATGCTGCCTTACGACCCAACGGACGTCGGCACCAACGACGTCCAGCTGGTCACCCAAAGAGAAGATGAGGTACGTCAGCAAGCCCGTTTTCGGATAAAGGACCAACAACGTGTCGACGCTGGCCGGTACAGCCTTCGTCGACGCGACGTGTAGTTCCAGCCCAGAGACAGGGTGTGGGTGCGGACGCCCATTGACCATCGTGGCCTCGGCGAGAAACTGTTAAAATGTTACTTTAGATTCTACAATGTTATTCGCCACCTTGGGGACTTGAACCCCAAGGCGCTCCCTGACGGAACCCAACCATCAAGACACCACCAGCCACGACCCGGAGTGGTACACGTGGTTTGACTCAAGCTATTCTACGCGCGTTAAAATTGTGACGCTGCTTGTTTATTTCATCTCACTGTATTTGTTTCGCCATTTTGTTTTCTCGTCACGTTGCATCGAGACAATCCGCTTTTAAAGGGGGGAATAGTGCCGCGCGCAGGGCCCAGCAAGCAGCAGACGGTCGCAAGATTTTAGAAAATTTGCGTTTATTCTTACTACCCCGGGCGTAAGGGGTGTGACATAGGATGGATTTTATTCTTTCTCGCAACCGAGCAGACAAAAACAAATTAAGAATACAACCATTTTCATGCTGAATAAAGCTTCTGCTGCGACCTCCAGGCCTCTGTCAGCCGTCGGATGGCCGTGCTCTGCACCACAGCACCCTCGCCGGCGTGCTTGCACATTGCAACACACTCACAGCTGCTGGACGGCACACCTCACCATTCTAGTACTCCCTACCCCAGACTTTTGGAAACTGATTTATGGGTCTACTCGGAACCAACCTGTAAAATCTTTCTCAGCAGGGCTGGATATCTCTTCCGTTTTCGTATGTTATCGAGAGAGAAAAGAACCTTCTCGTACAAGGTAATTGGGAATGGCTACAAGACTGATGCTTGGGCAAACCTGAGGCAATTTAGAGAGGGGAAAAGGCAAAAACTAAACGTTCAAGCTACTTCGGGGAATTCGAAAGGCCCTACGATTCGGTGGCTGGGTTGCCAGGAGTTGTTGACTGTGGCCGTTTTGCTGAACGAGACAGGAATCGCGTAGGTATGCCGTGGCTGAGTGTGTATTTGTGTGGGCTCCTTGCAGATCCATAACGATAGCCAAGAATGTGTTTCTGGATGGCCTGGACAATGTGGTTATCCAGAGGAGGGTCCTGGGGGCCTCCCAGGCGCCGCCAAGCCCCCAGCTGTCCCCCAAGCCTCAGCCGGCCGAGAGGGAGGACAGGGGCGCCGCTGCTGCCAAGGAGAACATCTACGAGAACCTGGGCTTCCTCGCACAGAAGGCAAGTTTGGGCCGCACCCCTGGGCCCGTTTGCTCGAAGCACTAACCGCGGCTAAAGTTAGCCGCAGTACCTAGGAGAGGGATTTTGAGATCACGTGACTGGCTCGGCAGGGATGCAGGAAAACATGGCGGTGCCCCGGTGAGTGAGCGCCGCTCGCTTTGGAACTGATATGTCGTTGTGGTTGCAATATCGGGCGCGTTAGTCAGCAACGAATAATACACAAGGCTTTAGCTTTGCCTTACCTCACTTAAACCACAAAGCATGGGCAACGACATCGCCGCCTTTTTTAGATAGTGTCTCGATTCTGGGCACTCCTAAGCCTAAATGAACGCGATAATTGTCGACATAGAAACGTCTTTGGAAAGCGGATTGTTGATAGCACACAAAAGCAGACGGCGTCCCAACAGACCCCTTTTCTAAATTATCCAAGCACCGAGGCGCATGCTACGACTGTAGTTGCACGCGTCGCACGTGCTGGCGTCTGCGGTAGTAACCGTTCTAAAGCAAAAAGTATAAAACAAAATTTTGCCCTGCACGCGCGTTCGTTAAAGCCTTATTATGATTTTTTACTTCAAATATTTTATAAGAGGAGGGCCAGCGCGCGTGAACCGTAGAATTACACTTCCAGCGTTCTCCTCGCGATGCTTGGATAATTTAGAAAAAAAGTCTGTCGGGACGCTGTCTGTTTTTGTGTGCTATCAACATTCCGCTTTCCAAAGACGTTGCCATGCCGACTATTATCGCGTTCATTTAGGCCTAGGAATGCCCAGAATTGAAACACTATCTAAAAAATGCGGCGATGCCATTGCCCATGCTTTGCGGTTTAAGTGAGGTAAGGCAAAGCTAAAGCCTTGTGTATTATTCGTTGCTGACTAACGCGCCCGATATTGCAGCTACAACGACATATTAGTTCCAAAGCGACCGGCGCTCACTCACTGGGGCACCGCCATGTTTCCCCGTATCCCTACCGAGCTAGTCACGTGATCTCAAAATCCCTCTCCTAGGTACTGCGGCTAACTTTAGCCGCGGTTAGCGCTTTGAGCAAACGGGCCCTGGTCTGTCGCTCGGAGGCGCCGGTCGTCGCACTTGCTACCCAGTTATAGTCGAGAGCAGGACCGTGCCACGCAAAATTTGCTTCTTTCTGTTTCTTTTCCTGTTGGCAATTTGACAATTGTTAGAGCAGTGGTTCTCGACTGCTGAGTGTTTCAAGGTTCCCTTCGAATAAGGTAGTAGCATGTCCTCTTCTAAATTGGCTGAAGTGACGGGGGACCCCATCCACTGAGGGTGAAGTGTTGGTATTGGACAATTACAATGACAAAGGCTACACCGAGAAAACTAAATGCATGAAAACCAACTTCAGAACTCCGAATTGGGGATTAATCAACCCTACTCGCCCGGCGTGTATGGTTTGGTCTCTTTAATTTTGTAAGACAACCAACATCTATAAAAACAGCCTTTCCACTCTTGCAAAAAAGGAAGAGCAGCGGAGCTGTAGCTTCTGTTTTCGGCGGCGGCTTCCCAGCCGAGCGGTGTGCTCTTCTTTCGGAAGAGAATCTGAAGCGCTCGACCCATTGGCGCTGCTGCGTACGTCGTAGCTCCTTCCGCACCTGGTCTTCTTTCCCTGAAGAAACGGCACGCGGGCGACCCATCGTGAGTCCAAACCGACACTGATAAGAGCGTAGGAAACAGAGCACAAAACAGACGAAGACGAAGAAACATGCGTGCCGTGCACTGCGCTCGTCCCATGTGTTTCTTCGTCCTCGTCTGTTTTTCGCGCTGTTTCCTATGATAAATTCCCACCAACTCGCCCAACTACTCATTCTTCTATGATAGCTGCAAAGGTTGCCGCCATCTATGAGCGACGGCGGCAACAAGACTGGTTGTCTAGTTGCCGCCGTCGGTTATAGATGGCTGTAGCTGTCCAGAGGTTTGTGTAGTTTGTCAACATTATTTTGGTACCGGACATGATCCTGGGGAACCTAGCCCTTAACAGCTCCGCTGTAAAAAATGTTTTGTTGCTTGGTTTGACTGACAATCAAGGGCTTCAGGGACACTAAGTACTCCTTTAGAGACTCCAAAAAGTCTGAGAGCCCCCACTTGAGAACTACTGGGTTAGGGGATTTAAAATATATAGACCGACACGCGGGCTTGACGTCACGGAGCTGCGGCGGCGCTGCGATCGCGCCGGAGCCGGGTGGTGTGGGCAAAAAGTGTGCACGTTTCGCATGGGCGTCATAGCATTTCAGCATGCCGCGAAGCTGTGTTGCCGTTAATTGCACCGAAATGTACCTACAAGAAAAGTAGCGGAGTGACTTTTCACAAGTTCCCGGCAGACTATGAAAGGCATAGAAGGTGGATAACATCCGTGGATCGAAAAGAATGGTCGCCTCACGCGAACGACCGTTTGTGCGGCAAGCACTTTCTTGAACGCAAGTGCGGCATCCTTTTCAATCTCAATCCCGAGGCTTGCTTATGTGCAGTGAAACCGTTGTCTGATCGAGACCACCCAAATTTTGTTCCTATGGTGTTCGGGCACAAAGCACCGGCCAAGCGCTTGATGGAGGCTCGCTACGCCTGTGCTACCCAGCAGAAGGGGATCGGCAGAAGGGGATCGGCGACAGAGCGGCAGTGTTGTAGGCGTTACCGAAAAAAGTAACGAAATACGTTACTCGTTACTTTCAAATAAAAGGTATGCGTTACTGAGCTACGTTACCTAAAAATAAAAGAAATGCGTTACCGCTACTGATAAAAAGTAATGCACGTTACTTCTACGTTACTTATAAATTATGTTTTAACACGTTTTATGGTTTTGTCGATACAGGTATGCATAAGCTCATATATCAAGAAACATTATGTTGAAGCAGAAACTGAACTTAAATACTTTATCTCTTTTTACGGTTTCACCCAAATACTCACAAGAAAGAATGCAAAGAAAAACATGGCTTGACGCCTAAAAACACGGAAAAAATTGAAGTGTAATTTCTTTAAGACTTGGGAAGTGGTAACGAGTAACATAACTACGTTATTTGAAATAGTAATGGAAGTATGTTACCCGTCACTATGTCGAAAAAGTAACGAGTAGGTTACTACGCTACTGAAAAACGTATTGTGTTCCTGGTAACGCCATTACTTGTAACGTGTTAGAGCCAAGACTGCAGAACGGACAAAGCATTACCGCTTGTCATGCCTTGTGGTCATGAGGGTAGGAAAAACATCGTAGCTTGACTTGAAGACGCCGTGTGTATTTAATCAATTAATAAATACACTTTCGCAGATCCACAGTCTGCTGATCCTGCCGGCATTGCGGAAACCGACTCGAAGTAATCGTAGGCCTCGAGAGACTTGTACACCTGCACCGTGTCGGCCGTGAACTGGCTTGGCGAAAAAACTAAATAAACGACGACGTGAGCCGTCGACTTCGGTGGCAGCAACTTCACGTCGGAAATCCAGCAGGCCTTGTTTACGGCATACGGGTCCTCGAAGGCAACGCTGTCCACGCGCAGTTTGTTTCGATACCGCTGCCGTTCAGGCTCGGGTAGCGAGCTCAAACAGTCGGGCATAGCATACAACATACGTTGTCAGGAAATACGGCGCACAAATAAAGCTAGAAGCGTCCCTAAAACGTCAACAATGAGCGCACGCCACACAACGCAATGGCGAAAACACGGAGAGCCGGGCCGCTTTTTCCCACATAGCTACTGTGCATGCGCAGCCTTCCGGCCGTATTGGTAAACAGAGCCGCTCCGCGTGTCGGTCTATACAAAATGAAGGAACTTAAGCCCATGGCTAGTTTATGATAGCGTAATTGCTGAAATGAGTGCTCATCACCTCTAATGAACTGGTTTGCATGGTCCCCTGGCTGCCATACCCACCATTAGACAGTTTTAGTGCTGCTAGCTCTTGTACAGTTGTTGACCGATTTTTTGGACCTCGCAGGGACAGAAAAAATGACCGAATAATAGAGCACTCTGAAAAATCAAAAAGACGTGTCCTTGTTACATCTAAAAGGGCTTTAAAAAGCCGTCAAGAGTGCCTTGTTGCAGGTTACGCCTGCGCACCTTGCTTCAGATTACGCCTCCGCCTGCAGTCAGCCACTTTCTCTTATCTTGAGAATCGCTGCCTTCTTTTTTAGCGTTATGGTCGAGTACTTTCCGTGCTTCTTAGCGACACTTTGGGGCCATAATGTCCAAGCCAGCGTAGTCCGAGAACACGATTCACCGAGATGAGATGAGATGCGCAAGTCCACGACTGCAGTATGGCGAATGAACAGGTCAAAATGGTAACAATGATAATGATAATAGCGTGCAGCTAGAGGAAAAAAGCCGTAGCAGTAAGCGCTGCCATGCCATACCAAGCCAATCCATGTGGAGCCAACATAGAATCTAAAGTGGTGGCTTCTCAGAGCTGTTTTCCACTGATCGCTCGCAATGATTTTGTCCGGAACATTGGTAGTGAATATGCAATATTTCCATCGGGTAGGTCACGGTTCCTCCTTTAGGTCTGAAATATCAAACAAGTCCGAATTATCGGCGCCCAAAAAATCGGTTGGTGACTGTATACGCGAGAGTTTAGTGTCTGCCATAAATGACCTGGCCATACCGATTTTAGCTGACCATTCCCTAAATGTCAGTTGGATCTCCCGCATGCTTCAGCGCACCCCAACCAACCATGCCCCTCAGGATAAATAATAGAAATTTAAGGCATTTCCTACCTGTACCCTGACTTTCTGCGGTGTAAGGAGGCTACGAGTGCATGGCAAAATTTAACTACGGAGCCTTCGTCAAGAATCTTATGGTGCTGCCACCCTTTATTAGTGCCATTGTCGAAATAATTTGATGACCCACTGATATGCTATGCAGAGCAACAACTTTGGCTATGTTTTTAAGAGTCGTCCATGTGTCAGCGACAAACCGCACAATGAGCAGATCACGGCACTCACTCTCTGTCTGGATGATAAACATTTTTCTTGTGCACCCCTGCAGCTGTACGGCAATCCGGGTCGACTGTGGAAGGTCTCATAGTGTGTTACTGAACTGAATTTCATGTTAGAGAGCCAAATCATGGGCGATCGTGAAGCCGACACGAAGACTACGGCATTGATGCTGCTGCCGTGACAGTTCCCTCTTTGAAATCGGTGCTCGCGAAAGCTCCCCGCAAGATGCACAATGCAAAGTTCCCAAAGTTGCGTGCCTCCTCACTATGCTAGCATTTCTATTGCATGTCGCAGCTTAACTTGAGACTCGGGTATGAAATAGACACAACGTAGAAGGGACAGAAAATGGGAAGAAAAGACATCGCAAACTCGGCTAAAGATTTTCAGTCCCACCTCCTTAGATACACACTACCACAAGGTCACCAAACACGTAACTTTCTCTTTGCCAGGACACAATAAACCAAGACACAAAAAGGAACAACTAAAACAGGATGAAGGGATGCACCCTCAAGTTACAAAAAAGATAACAGCCAGGACAAACCTTCTCAATTTAAGCTAACCCTCCACTTTTACAAAAAAAAAAAAAAAAAAGAAGGTTTATGCTTTGTCGTACATCTGACATTACACCTGCGAACAACATCTACCCAAAACATAAATACAAAGACGCATCCTCAAAAAAGAAACAAAAGGTAGAACTGGAAAGAAGCTTTTCCAACTCTACCAACCAAAAATACCAACTTAAAAGAAAAAAAGAGACACTTCTGGATTCACTTAAACAAAGTGTTTTCACGCTTCCCTTTCAAAATATTTAAAAACACACACACACACATATACAGACATACAAAACTTTTTAGTCTCAAGAATGATTACAATTGAAAACAAATGTGTTAGTTAATAGATACAAAACTTCAAAGTATAAAACGGAGAGGATGAGGATGGGAACAGGACATCTTTCATGATGTCCTGTTCCCGTCCTTGTACTCTCTGTTTTATACTTTCAAGTTTTGTATCTCAAGAATGCTTCGGCATTGTTCCCCAGCTGCAACCATGCCCGACTAATACAGTTACCAATCGATTTTATTTGAATGGTTTCCCTTGCCGGTCTTTTACTGTCATTCACTTCTCTATGTATTATTTCCGTTCCTGACCACAAAGCAGTGCAATTACCGTATTTATTTGAATATAAGGCGGTCACGATTATAAGGCGAGGGACAGTTGAAGGACCCAAGAAAAAGGAAAAAAATTGTCATATTGCTATACTGAGCTTCGAATATAAGGCGGGGTATGACTTTGAGACTACGGATTTTGGAAAGAAACCTCGCCTTATATTTGAATATGAATAAATACGGTACTACAATCATTTATGTGCTTTGCTATTTCCGAATGGGACCCCAGTCCCAGGTTAAGTTGCAACATGGTAAACATCCACCAGGTCGCCTCTACTTCAATATTATTTTTATTTTTTCATTTTTATTGCATTCTGGGCTTGCGCACTCCCGACCTGCACTTTTCTCTTATGTGGTGAGCTCTTGTGTACGATCTACTAAAACTGTCTATGCCTCATATGAGCTCTTTCTCCTGATTGCTTGCAACATTCATGCATGTCTCTACGTTCTCTACTTGGATCTTTTGTGTCATGTCGTTACTTTTTTCCCTCTAACCACTGCATAATTCTCGTAAAGTACACAGTAACGAAATCTCGGTATCATTCAACCGATTTCTTTCTTATCTTTCTTTGTAATCACTACTGCTACTATATCAAGAAGAATTCGCATTGTTTTGTCTCCACAGAACAAGCAAGAGGAATCTAAAGCCAGCGCATCTCCGAGAAAGTTGTATGTGGTTCGGCACGCAGAACGAATTGATTTCACCTTTGGAGCCTGGCTTCCTATCTGCTTTGATGCTGCAGGTATGGCTAACCAGGACTTGGGCAGTTAGTTTTTGCACTTTTGTGGATGATATAGTGCGGTGGTTTGATTTGAAGTTGGAGAGCGAGTTACACTTGGGGGGGGGGGGGGGGGGGGGTTTCAATTTAACTCATGCTTGATTTTGGAGTAAAATTGTAATTGTAATGGGAAAAAAAAGGTTACCTTTTGGATGCACTTTTGGAATAGGAGACCCAGTTCAGAATTAATTAGAAGGAAGTGTACTACTTTGCCTTTTTTAAAGGGCAAGTCCGGTCGAAATGAAACCAAAATAAATGACTGGTATCGCTTTAGTGGCACGAAATAAAATCACAGCCAAAATACTACATCAAAGGGATGCCGCATACTCCACCAAAATCGATTTTAACCCCTTAAGTGCCTTGGACAAGCTGAGCTCGTCGGCCACTTTCTGGCAAAAAATTCCGTGGACGAGCTCAGCTCGTCCAGTGGTTTTTTCGGTAGCCCTCAATTCCACGGACGAGCTAGGCTGGTCCGAGTAGTTTTGCGGCGCTCGTCCGTGTTAAGTGCCTAGTTGGCAAATATTTTTTTTTTGCCTTTGCTGATTTTTGGCGTAATAAACTTTTCAAATTTTATGTGTAATACTAGAGGAATAACAATTCAAAATAAAAAAAAAATATAACACTTTTAGGTTACTTTTGGAAAAAAAAATTTGGCACTTAAGGGGTTAAAAATGCGACCAGCTGGATTTTAGCGGGCAGCAAGCGGGTTATGTTTTAGCCCAACAATACTGGGCAACACATAACGCAGCGCCCCCGTGATGCCCCATCACGGTGGTGCCGCACTTTACTCCGCGCGTTGTACCGCGTACCGGGGCACCACAGTGACGTCACATCACAACTGTACAGCCGATGATTAGTGTTGCCATCCCTCTCGATTAGATAGTTTCGGTTTTTGCTGTAGACGCCCGAAATCAAACTTTGAGCCATAATACTTATGGAACTACCTACACACAATATGAAGAAAAGAAGTTATAACTCTTAATTCAGGGAGATTGACTGAGCTGAAAACAGTCGTAATCCAAAATTTAAAAACATTGACCGGAATTGCCCTTTAAAACCTGAAGCTTTCGGGTAGCAGTACCCCTTTAGTCCGAAGCTCTTCCTTCGAACTTGCTCAACTCGACTATTAAAGGGACCACGGAATAAATGTTTGGTAGATTAAAGTTTCACTAACTGCATATCACACCGTGCGGCGCAAAAAGTTTCACTAATTGCATATCACACCGTGGGGCACCAGTCAACTGACAGTGAGGACAAAAAGCCTGAAACGTGATGTTTGCTGTGAAACTTCAGCGTAAAAACAGGCCATTTTTTGTTCCCTGCTTTGAAAAAGCTTGCCAAGCCCATCGTTACTCACACAGATCTAAACAGTGCCGGACGCATCACAGTTGAATGCGCCTCACGAACTGAACATGAGAATGTGTCACCAGTCACTTGGAGCTCAGTAACAACCAGTCTCTGAGCGATTAGTATTTGGGTTTGCTTTTGTGGCTGAACTCCAACACTGTCCAGTGCACGGCACATGCTTTGAGCATTGCCAACCTTGGCTCGTGGCTGGCGTGAACATCGGTGGCACATGCTTGCAAAAGAATGCTCGACAGCCTGTTCTGGTCCCGAGTCGAGGAGGTTTTTGCTGCTGAATTTTCTCGGGTGTTTTTTGTGACAGCTAGTGTCTGGGGCTAAAAAGGAATGCACGCCCTAATATATCACAGACGTCGGTGATTACTTCTGAGCAGCATTTAGCTAAATCGAGACAAAACCTTTGTGATACCTTGAAGGTTCACCGGCAGCGTCAGCCAAACCTCGTGAAAGAAGTAGATGCATTGAGAATGTTACTTTATCACGCCCTCTGCATTCCTAGGGAAATATACAAGACGAGATTTGAACATGCCCATGACCGTTCCTGAGAGGAAAGGAGGGTATCAAGACTATGCCAAGGATTCACCTTTGACTAATATTGGCCTGTATCAGGCAACTCTAACAGGTATGAAACTTTTCTTTTTTTAGATGAACAGATTTTATACTAAAGTTGAGGCTTGGGCAAGTTGGTACATACTTCGGAATGAAAACGGCGCAAAAAGACGAGGACCAGACAAAGAGGTAACACGGATGCAGCGCTGCGTCCGAGTTACCTCTTTGTCTGGTCCTTGTCTTTTCGCTCCGTTTTTAATTCTGAAGATTTATACATGTTCTTGAAATTTTGAAATCACTTTGAAAGCAGCTGCAGTGGCTGTGTATCCTCAGAGCATTAAAGGCTTCATATTTAGGTCAAAACTGTACAATGGCACAGTTGGGGAAGCACTGCTATGACCTTGTAAATGCACTATGCATCAGAAAGGCAACTTCTCGTGTTCTGCTCCTAAGATCAAGATAGCCGCCATGCCTACTGGAGGGAGAAGTGCGACTTGTAGGCAAGGATTTTTTGTATCTATTTATTTACTCTCAAGGCCAAGGCATTACAGAAAGGAGGCTGGGAGATGCATAGCATAGTGCATTTACAAAGTCATAGCAGTGCTTCCCTAGTTGTGCCATTGTACAGTTTTAACCTAAATATGAAGCCTTTAGCGCTCTGAGGATACAAGGCAACTGCAGCTGCTTTCAAAGTTATTTCAAAATTTCAGTCGGCGCAAGTTTTGAGAATGAAGGGGTGGAAATGTAAATTAGTGCGGCTGCATGGCACGCCAACCTTGTACTGGTGGTCGCTGGGGAGGAAATGTATGATAGCGGCAGAAAGAGAGAATCACTGAGGGGAGAGTTAAAATGATAAATCTTATGAAAGAGACAGACTAGACATTTTATGACGCAATGAAAGTCTAAGGTTTCCTTTACAGTAAAACACGGCTTTTAGAGCGCAGCTCTTAGGCGCATGTTTCCAGCTTGAGCGGCATCGCCGTCGCCGCCACCGCGCAGTGCATTATGGGTAAATTGCCCGCTAAATCTAGCAGAAAAATCTCCCCGCTAAATCTAACGGAAAAATTTCCCCACTAAATCTAGCGGAAAAATTCCCCCGCTAGATCTAACGGAAAAATTTCTCCGCTAAATCTAGCGGAAAATGTTCCCCGCTAAATCTAGCGAAAAATTTTTCCCGCTAGATCTAGCGGAAAGATTTCCCCGCTATATCTAGCGGAAAAATTTCCCCGCTAGGTTTAGCGGAAAAATTTCCCCGCTAGATCTAGCGGAAAAATTTTCCCACTAAAGCTAACAGGAAAATTTTCATGTCGTATTACACCTGAGACTGCGGTGGAAGAAATCGGAAGAACTTTCAGTAGAAGGAACAGACACAGAGAACGTCTCAAAGAGAATGTGTCTGTTCCTTCTACTGAAAGTTCTTCCGATTTCTTCCACCGCAGTCTCAGGTGTAATACGACATGATTAGCTACCACCAGCTCGCCTGCACACTCACAGTCTTTTCAGGAAAATTTTTCCCGCTAAATCTAGTGGAAAAATTTCCCTGCTAAATCTAGCGGAAAAATTTCCTAAATCTAGCGGAAAATATTCCCCGCTAAATCTAGCGGAAAAATTTTCCCCGCTAAATCTAGCGGAAAAGTTTCCTCGCTAAATCTAGCGGAAAAGTTTCCCCGCTAGATTTAGCGGAAAAATTTCCCCGCTAGATTTAGCAGAAAATTTTCCCTGCTAAATCTACCGGAAAAATTTTCCCACTAAATCTAGCGGAAAAACTTCTCTGGAAGGTCATGTGACACCCCCCCCCCCAGGTCACGTGACCCCCTTCCCCGAGGTCACGTGGGGGGATCCTCAGGGGGAGGGGGGGTCACGGGACCCCCTAGTGGACCGGTCACGTGGGGGGGGGGGGGGGGGGGGTGTCACGTGACCCCCCCCCCTGAGAACACGGACACCTCAGTACCCTTCCCTCCTCCTCCTCAAGAGCTGCGCTCTAATTCGGTGCATCCAGAAGATGCGATTACCGTAAAATCCCTAACAAACGTCCTCCCCATCAAATTCATGCAGTGTCCTTACGAGGCTCCACTCAGCCGTCACGCTACTGGTTAGAAGAGAATGCACTGGCATTCCAAACTTGATAGACTAGAAGGAAACGGTGGTCGTTCTTGCACAAGAACTAAGTGCACTTTATTTTGCCATGATTGCAGCATAGCAAAAATGCAGTAAACATATGCAAAACAAAATACTGTTAATTGTGGTGTAATACTAACCGAAATCAATGTAACAAGAATGGATTACTTCCAAAACCGACGCACCCCATCGCGGCGAAATACCATGCAGTGCACTCTGGGAACTAGTTGGCCACTCAGTTTCGGTTTCGACTGAGCAGCTTCATCTCATGCTATCACGCCACGACCGAACGCGCTGCTTGCGTTTTCGATTATCTGACTTTTCACGAACGCACAATACAGTCGAACCTCGATATAACGAACTTCAATGTAACGAAATCCTCGATTTAACGAAGTATTTTATTTTTCATAATTTCTTGCCCATAGACCCCATGTATTTTTAGTCCCTATATAACGAAGTCTATTTTGCTGCTATTTCAATATAACGAAGCGCCATTGCCATAGAAGGCAATAAATAAATCAACTCTAAAAAACAACTTCGCAAAAAAATTGTGGTTAAAAAAAAAAAAAAGTATGCGCAAACGCGAGCGCTTGATTGGTTGCTTCACGGGGACAGGCCTTCCAACGTTCCTAGGCTGCCCGAGGATGCGGCGCCGGTAGCGCCGGCGACGCATGCGGCAAAGCGGATTCCGCGAGGCTGGCCAGAAAATGCCGAGCAAAAAGTTAACACGGCATAACAGCATCGCCACTGACATTAAAGCTGTTTGGTTTAGGCGGTGCCAATGTTTCCAACCTACACAACACTCTTGACCGTGGGTAGCGCGGGAGCCAACTTCAGCGGGGGAGCGACGTGATGGCGCGACCGCGCGACGCGACCGCACGGGCAGTGGCGTTTAGGAGAAGACCGAAAAGACCGATTATCGTCTTGCGAGCGTGATATAAAGCAAAGGCGCAAGCACACTGTGGGTGCAAGGGGGCAAGTAAACTGTGCGGTCAAGAGTGCTGTGTAGGTTGGAAACATTGGCACCGCCTAAACTAAACAGCTTTAATTTTTAACCGGGCGGTTCACTCACGTGCTTGCTGCCATAAGGAAACGTAAAGTTCTTTCTTTGGATGAGAAAGCAAATGTTTTGGACGCCATCCTGAAGAAACTGCCGAGATCACGAGCACTCGGGAAGTGCTCGACGCAGTGGACGTACTGAGGAGGTACACGGCGTCGCATGGGCAGCAGGATGCCGTGCAAGCGCTCTGGGCGCTCGAACGCCGTATGACGCCGCTGCTACTGTCGGCCAAGGCGCAAGCAAAACTCGCGGACTACTTTGCCCCAAAATAAATGTCATTTTCGGTGAGTTTTCATACCCGTAAAATGTTTCAGAATTTTTTTTCGCATGCTAAAGCCAAATTTCGATTTAGCGAAATTTCAATGTAACGAAGTAAATTGCGAATTTTACCGACTTCGTTACATCGAGGTTCAACTGTACACTCATTCTTGAGCGATGCAAAACGAAGACCGGGGCACTTCCCTTGGTTCCTGAAACACTGGATATTGTGCGTGCGTATGCGAACGTAGTAAGTCGTGGCTTAGTCACCTCACCCCACAAGTGCATGTTTGAGCTCAGTTTCAATAATCCCGTCTAGTACCAGTGAACTAGAACTGAAATTTGTTCATATAGAGCCTTACACATATTTTGTTTGCCAAACGTCCGTTTCTTGTTACTTCATTGGGCGAAAAGCAAGCCGCATCCTCACAGGGTATCAAAGTTGAGCCCAGCTTTTACGCATGAACTTTTAAGGAAACGCAATAAATTCGACCTCACTACGGCACAAAAGTTACTGTGATGTCTTCCTCGTGTCATCATATATCTCCCACTCAAATTTTATACTGATAGAAGATTAAGTTTTCGCAAACGCTGAGATCGGCTAGCTACGACGGAGGCCATAACAAGCGTCCCCTATACTCCTCGCTAAGCCATTTTGCACAAGCTTTTACTGACGCCCAAGATTTGGGCCTGAACGGTGTGTCTGAAATTATCTCTGCACACTCAGGCAGGAAGAAAACAAACGCATAACAAATATTATGACCATTAGCAACCGTTAAACGTGCTTTGAATTCGTTCGAGCACTTGTGTGAAGAATGTCGCACCGTGTGCCGGACGGCCATGAACCCCTATGCGGTGCGCATAGGGGTTCATGCCTGTCCGGCGCACTTCCGGCGAACGGTGCGACATTCTTCACACAAGTGCTCGACTTTTGCTTTCTTAAAACGGTCTGTATGTGCGAATTTGCCTATATGATTGCAGAATAACTCTATGCGCATACGTGATGTTGAATATTAGTGGGAAGCAAGCGGGTGGGGACTTCACTTCGTGCAGTGCTGCGGGTCAGTACAGATAAGAGATAAGAAGTGTGTTAAAATTGAGCTTTTCAATGGCGCCTCCAAATTTTACCTCGCATATTCACATTATTCAGGCATATTAAGAAAAACAGTAATTGCAAAAAGTAATATTTCGTATATGGACGCACAAAACAAACAAACTTCCTGATCAACAACACTAATGTAAAGGCGCGAGCTCGATGTATGCATACTTATTGGTTGATACAGCTGGTTGATTCGTACACAAGCAAGATCCCGAAGCTTCGCAGCGTCGAGATTCCCAGCCCTGGCTCGTCCACATACCTCGATTGGAACGCTAACAGGAAGGCTCAAGTACAAAAATACAAAAAGCATGTGTTAAGATAAGCTATATGTCTCAGGCTTGTGCTAAAGCCTCGAGGTCTGGCCATTTAGGATAGTTTAGAGACCACAAATGACGCTCTCGGGACCAGAAAACAATCTCTTGTCGACCTGTCGATCAAGACCGAAACCATGCTACCCTCCTCCCTGGCCAGCTAGTTCCCTGAGTGCAACGCGCGGTGTTGTTTGCAGGGCTTTATGGAAGTAGTCTACTGGAAAAACTTTGCGAAATGTTGCATGCAAGTTTCCAAGATTGCGTCTTTACTGGCACCATCTCGTTGTCGTCTTTGCTGCCAACCATTTTCTTTACCACTGCCACTTTCAGCAGTGCATGCCAGCAATTGCTAACAATAGCTTAAAAAAAAGGAAGAAAAACCAGCTGCTGCGTGCATACAGAGAACACATGCATCGCACAGCAAGAAGGGGGCATGTGGCCTCCTTATCTTTCACTGTTGCTGCCTCTGTCAGCTGTGCTCTGTGTCGCTTCATGTCCGGGTGAAGCGAAAGCTACAAGCATGAGCATGTTGCCCTGAACAATGTTTTCATTGTACAAACACGCATGCTTGACAGGTATACAGTGGAAGCCTGGAGCTGGTAGTTCTTGTAGTCTCTGCTGCATTTGCACTTAAAGTGAAATGGAGTAAGGTGGTACAAGCTGCCGCCCCAGGCGTGTAATCAAGTCCCACGCTACCTTTCTTTTCTTGTTACTATTGCTAGTAATTGCTGGCATGCGTGCCAGCAATTTAAAAAAAATTCGATTTTAGTTTTTTTCGCAATTTGAAAAGTTTAGTTCTTTCTGCACATTTTCCATTGTCCAAGTGTTTTTAGAAAGCTATATTTCGGGCTGAAAATCACTTCTTCCGAAAGCAAGTAGCAGGTGACCACGCCTCCTTTTGGGATACACTCCCTGTTTATCGATGAATTCTCCAACAAAACAAAATCAACACAAGACCTAAAAGCTTGTCCAGTAACAGATAATCTAAAAAAAATTATTTCGCAACTATTGCATAGCTTTTTTTCAACCAAGACAATCACGAGACGCTGTGCACGTTTTTCCCAGGTGTGTACCGTGTATACATTCAAGCGTTTGTTTTTTCGTAATGACAAAATGGCGGCATTGGATGCTGTTCCTTTATTCAATGGTGGCAGCATTGCAGAAGCCAATGTTTTGAAGTTTTGTGGATGGAACCCTGTTTGGAAAGCCATCAAGTGGCTGAGGGAAGTTGACGTCACTCTAATATACTTTACGGACCAAGCGACATGGCAGGTCACGAAAGAGGCCCGGCAAGCAAGGCGATAAGCCTAAAGGCGACGACATGACTTTAGCCATGCCTTTCAAGCTGGCGGCTATTGAAAAAATGACTCTGAGGCTGTTGGTGCCAATAGAAATTCGTTATTCACCAGTTTTTTTACTTTAAACTCAATTATCTCAAAACAGTGTTTTTTAGTACAGAGGTACCATTTTTTCCTTAACCTGACATTATAGAGGGTTGATTTTTTATTCCTACCACATACATGGGTGTTGAAAAATACTGAACTAAAATTAAAAATGTGCACCTAGCAGTTTTTGAGTTATAAAGTTTTTAATAGATGAAAACAACTAAAATTTCAGTACTAGAATAAAAAAATATATAAAAAAAATGTATTTTAGATTGGTTCAAATAATTCTAGTTCAGTGGATAAAACACAATATTTCGAACAAAATGATATTCACATGACAGGAATACTCCTAATAGTCACCAAGAAAAATGTTCCTCAACATAGCCTCAAATGCATGGGGAGTATAGGACTTACCCTGTGCCCTTAATGCAAGTATCATCTGCTGCACGGGCAATCTGTAAAGAAGTCGTAGTTGCAGTTAAAACAGGAAAAATTATTTTTTGCTCAAATCGACGGAGCGTTTTGTGATAACCTTCTTAAAATCAAGAAACTGCACCATGGAACAAGGTTTTTTTTACTGTGTCCCTGACATCAGTTCCCGTATCGTGAGCGTTTGCAGTAGGAGCCTGCATGCTTATCATCGCTCCTTTCTGAATAAAATTCTGCTGTGGTATCTTGAAACATCACCCTTTCACTGTTTCTCTCCTTGCCACGGGTGGGCGTTTGTTGGGGATATTACAGTTTTGCAGGAGTGCCTGTGCATGGAGTTTATTCTACAGTGAAGTCTAGTTTTGATAGAAAGAATTGTGACTGTAACTAGTATAATTGTGTTACTGACCCCTACTTTGTTTACATATATTTTCTTCCTTTTCAGGAAATGCTATGTATGAAAGCGGTGTCACGTTTAGTCATGTGTACTCTTCCCCTTCACTACGCTGCATACAAACTTGCACCAATATTCTCACAGGTCAGTGCAACTGCCCACTCTCAGGCTGGTACAATTAATTTCCTTTGTGCGTTTGTGACTGCCCATAGCGCAGAGCAGTCTGCTTTCTGTAACTTCTGAACTTCTGTAACCCTGATTTAAAAAATGGTGAATTGAGCCATTCATAGGTAGAAGTCAATCTTACCAGACTCAACAATTGTTTCAAACATGCAAACTGCAGCATTGGGAGAATGGTGGAGCAGTAAAACATTTGTACGTAGTACTACGAAATGGTGTCTCATTACTAACAGATTGTTTTTGCCGTGGCTTGCTTGCTTTTTTTTAGGTATCTAGATAAACACTTCTCCCATCTTTTTGCCTATAGATCCTAATGATCATCTTGCAGAGGAACCATGCATCAATGTCTTTGCATCAACTAATTAGTACCCAAAATAACCATTTCACACATTTATAGAAGGTGGAGCAGGAATCCGTTTTTGTTTGCTTGTGCTGGTTTTTGTGCAAGGGGCACTTATGAGCCCCACATACCCTTTCCTTTTCAACTTCCTGTTTGTTCCCTCAACCAGGTTAGCCCAGTGCTTTAACTATACCAAAAAAACAAAGGATTATCATCTTGCGATAAATAGTTCACAGTCGTGCTTGCCAGAGGTTGAACACAAAAAGACCGTAAGCCTCTAAAGCAGGGGTCTCCAAACCCCAGTCCACGGGCGGCCGCAATCTTTTCATTGATGCCCGGCCCCCGACCCGATGCTGCTAGCAACGCAAAAATAAGCGCACGTGGAAAAAGCTGTTTTGCGACACGCACCAAAACCACAATTGAAGATATCGGAAAGAATGAGAAAAACTGCATCGAAATGCGGATTCTCTCGCCATGACATTTATTGCACATTGTCGTCACCAACGTTACCATTCATAGTCCTCTGTTTAATGTTTGTGCCGGTATGTTAAACTTCCTCTGCAATCTAATGTACATCATATTTAGTATCCTGTGTCATAGCTACTGCATAATGTCATCACCAGGTCTATCATTCTCATTAGTCTTCTGCATTGTGTGAAGATGGCAAAGTTCCTATTCGCTTTGTTTTATATCTGGTGAGTTTTCTGGGTCACGATTGTTTTGTAATGTCATAATATTTGCTCTAATTAAAATTTCTGTATTTATATGTTTACTTACTGTAGGTTTATTTATTTAGTATTTCCTCATTTATATTGTCTTGTTTATTTTCTGGCCCTCGAGGCAGCGACGTAACTCCCAGTCTGGCCCCCTAGAACGTTTGAAGGCCCCTGCCCTAGAACAGCGAAAGAGGAAAAAGAAAAAAATAGCTACAGCCACAGCTCCGCTTCGAAGCATGTCGCGTTACGCGACAACTCGGTGTCACCATGAAAGAGACACTCCAAGGGAAAAAAAAGTTTTTTTTTTTTAAAGGGCATAGATTGGACACATAATCTTTTAAAAAATTTTTCCACAAAAAAAAATAAAACATTTTCGCGCAATGTTTTTACATTGTTCAATGCAATTTAGGTGGGGGTCACAGCCCATTTTAAGCTTGCTTATTACTACTGGACTGGCTTGGCTGCTCGACCGAACAGGCTCACAAGCGTAGTGCCTCCCTTTTGCGTCATCCGGTGCACCCAGTCTGGGAGTCTAACACCGCCTGCTAGTCGTGCGAGCAGACGAGCGGCAGCCTCCGGCATTGTCTGCTATTTCACCGCCGTCTGTCTCCGACCGCATTGCCGTGAAACGTAGACACAAAAGCTGCGCGTCGGCGTCCGTTTTCGGCTCCGTCCGTCTGCTATTCGTCCCCCGTCTAGAAACGTCTGATACGCTCAGAAGACGCGATCATGAAAGCGGCATTCTAGCAATCCATCATGCACGAGCCACAGTCCAATACGAGCGTCTGTCAGCATCTATCGATGTGCGTAATAAGCGACCGAGAGAACTAAAAATATCAACAAAATAAATATGCAATCTTTCTAGATTTGTTGTTCTTGTTATTTTTTTTTTTTTTTCACATGGCATTCACGAGCAAGGTGGGTTAAGCAAAATGAGTGTCATGACGCGCAATTAAAACATGACAAAAATATTCGCATTGGTGGGCCAGGTGCACTGCAAAACTTGAAAGCTTGCCTTTCAAGGTGCTGTGACGGGAACATACCTAGACAAACTTGATACGAGCCGAACGCCCGATTGCCTCCATCCAAATGACTCACAAATTCTTACCTGTGTAGGTATCTTCTCGTCATTAAAACCATGGTCACGATTGTGATGTATCTGCTTATGCTATAGCAGATGGCGGGACATGTTGGGAAGCACGCGGTCCCCGCGTACTGAGAGCACGCGGTTTGAAAGATGACGGGTCTCGGTCAGTCGGAAGCCATGATTAAAACAAACGAGTCGAGCGACTAACAGCTGCAACTGGGTCTTACTCGCGATACATCACACTTTTGGCGACGAGGTCGATTAACGGACACCACAAGGGCGAGTGAACGATGGCTACCCAGGGCAAGCTGGAAGAATTTGATGGAACAGCGTGGTTGTCTTGGGCAGAGCGACTTGGATTCTACTGCAAAGCAAACGGAGTGCTGCAGCCTACAAAGAAGAGTGCTTTACTGCTGACCCTTCGCGGAGCAAAAACCTACGAAGTGGTACGAGCGCTCGTGGCACCAAAGACTCCTGGTGAGGTCAGTTTCGACGAGCTCATGGCGACATTGAAGAAACACTACGACCCGCGGCCGTCGGAGCTTTTCAGCAGGACGAGATTTCAGCGAAGAGACCAGCAGGCTATGTCGCAGCTTTAAAAAAGCTTTCTGCCAACTGCAATTTCGGAGTTCTGACAGCAACCCCAGCGGCGGTCACAGCTAGCACCAGCAACGCAGGTTCCGCAGGCGAAGCACGATCTCCTGCTCAACAGCCAGAGCTGAACCCAACGTTGCTGCCTCTCGATGTAATATTTAGGGATCGTTTTGTGTGCGGCCTGCGCAATGAACATTTACAACAGCGACTGTTTGCAGAAGTAAACCTGACTTTCAGAAGGCGCACGACATGGCGTTAAAGCGGTTTTAGCGCAGCTAGACAAAGACGGAAACGAAGCTCCCATCATGTTTACCTCGAGAACCTTGGGAGAAGCGGGAAAGAACTATTCGCAATTGGATCGAGAAGGTCTTGCTATTGTGTTTGCCATGCAACGTTTCCACCGATATCTTGCCGGACGTCACGTGACAGTAACCACCGACCATCAGCCTTTGCTTGGGATTATGGGTCCGAAAGCTCCAGTGCCCGCGGTTCTGTCACCGCGCATGACACGATGGTGTGAGAAATTAGCTGGTTACGACTACGAACTCGTCTACAGAGCAGGATAACGCAACCGAAACACAGACGCGTTGAGCAGACTACCATTAAGAGAAAGTGAAGATGAACCGGAACCACCAGGGGACATTCTTATACTGGAAGCATTGACTAAGCCTCCCATGACAGCTAAAGACCTTGCAGACCAGACTGCTGTGGACCCCACGCTTTCTGAAGTTCTACAAGCAGTCAAGAGTGGAGAGGTCAAGAAGCTAGCTGGCGAGCGTTTCACAGCCTGCAAGATGAAGTCCACGGAGCTATTGATACACCGAGGTTGCCTAATCTGGGGATCGCGCATCGTAATTCCCACTTCTATGAGACCAAAGGCCTTGGTACATGCAGGACACAGGGAAGTGGTCGCCATGAAGGCTTGCGCCCGAAGTTACCTCTGGTGGCCGGGGATCGACAAGAAGATTGAGTCCTGTGTGGCCCAGTGCGACACGTGTCAGCGACACCAGAAGACGATACCCAAAGGAAGCAGCCCAACATGGGAAAGACCGTCGACTCCGTGGGACACCCTTCATGTAGACTTTGCAGGACCGGTGGACGGAAAAGTGTTCCTGGTCATTGTGGATGCGTTCACTAAATGGCTTGAAGTATGTGCTATTTCGAGTATGACCTCAGCATCCGTTATCTGCGAGTTACGCAACGTTTTTGCGACGTTCGGTGTACCACGAAAAGTGGTATCGGATAATGGGTCGGCTTTTGTTTCCAATGAGATAAAGACATTTTACCGCCTAAATGGAGTTTTGCCGGTCACAAGTGTGCCGTAACACCCCGCAACAAACGGCCAAGCGGAACGGATGGTGCAGCAGCTGAAGCAGACACTTGCTAAAAGAGGAAGGGAGGAATTTAAGTGTTTTCTACCACGGTTCCTCTACAAGCAACATACCACAGCGCACACGGCGACAGGCAAGACACCAGCGTGGATGGTGTTTGGACGAGAGTTGCCATCTCCACTTGAGAGACTGATACGCGTACCGAAGGACGAGGTACAAGCGACAACCGAAAAACCACGCCAGTTTATGGTGGGACAACCCGTATGGATTCTGAAGTTCCCAAGTGGACGAACTTGGATGTCGGGGGTCATCACAGAGCGCCTGGGTTCGCGGTCAGGGATAATCCAGACAGAAGACGGACTAGTTCGACGGCAAATGGACCACATACGACCAAGGCTATTAGCTGCATGTCGGTCGAGTGATACACCCTCAGCAGCCTGGGGCTTGGACGTTCAGGCCGACGAGGTACCAGCTGACGCGATAAGTGCAGAAGGCCCCGAACTGTCCGAACCTGTGGCTATGCCCATCCAGGCAGGAACGCGTGAGCGAAGACCGCCCACAAGATACGGGATCACAGCCAAGTGAGGGGAAGATGTGATGTATCTGCTTATGCTATAGCAGATGGCGGGACATGTTGGGAAGCACGCTGTCCCTGCGTACTGAGAGCGCGCGGTTTGAAAGAGCACAGGTCTCGGTCAGTCGGGAGCCATGATTAAAACGAACGAGTCGAGCGACTAAAGGCTGCAACTGGGTCTTACTCGCGATACATCACAACAAACATGATGGTTGCACAATTCACAGAGCAGTGGGGCCGCTTTTACGGGAACCAACATCTAGATTCAGCATAAACGCGCGAAGACAGAAATCAAGCCAAATCAATCAGAATAGTTGATCTGGGATGCTAGGCTCAGGCCAATCCCACTAAAAGAACAAGCACCCACACAGCGCTTCCGAAGACGCATGCTTGCGACAGTTGTTCGTTGCAAACTGTGTAACTGTGTCAGTTGATGAAATCTTCCTCTAAACACCTCTGTAAACTTAAAACGACCCGCACTCATAAAAATTGACATGCTCAACGAGCTGCGTTTGTTCAGCACTTCGTAGACGCCGGTAGCCATGTTTGTTGATGTTTCAAACCAAAGTGTGAGAAGCAAACTCAGAATAATTTTCAAAACAATATTGATTCTATCTACTATCTAGCGCAAAGATACACATTTACAACCAACCTTTCACACATCAATCACCTCTCCTTCCAATGAGAGATGTAAGCACTTTGTAAGCACGGGGTGGGGTTTAGCGGTCTGTGACCTCCTCCTTCTGCACCTGAATTGCCTGTAGCAACATAAATATTGTGCAAAGAAAATTTCTTTTCGTGGAAAAACTATTTAAAAAAATAAGTGTCCCATCTTCACCTTTTCAAATTTTTTTTTTTTTTTTTTTTTCTTGCAGTGTTTTTTTTTAAGAGATAGCCGCACTTGGAGGAGAAGGGTTTTCTGGTTCTTTGCTAAAAGCTTCTGTTTCCAGTATTGTGATTGCTGCGCCAAACTTCGCCAAAAAGCTTACCCTGCTACATCCTGCTACATTTAGCCTAAATGTCAGGAACTTGCGCCAACATTGCACCCAAAACTTCATTTCGCTTTATTAATACAAAAAAATAAAGTGGCTCAGGCCCCGCTACACATCTGGATCGGTATGGTAGGCTTTTCCCAATTTTCAGAACTTTCGATTTTAGCCTAAAATGACTTACTATCCTATTTGGTCTCTCTGTCAGTGTCAAACACTGACAATACGCTGCATTTTCTCAATATCTCTTATGTTCCTAGTCTGCTCCGGCGTGTAAATTAGCTTTGTTGAGTGCGCTTCTCAGCGCACTCTTGTGTACTGCAGTGAAGCGGCAACCGCTAAGCAATCATCGAAATTTTGCTTATCTTTTTTGGTTGCAGTGCATCTGAGCACTAAAGGGATTCCCCCCAGAGCGGGACGTTAAACAAGCAAGCATCGTGTATATTAAAAGAAGGAACTTTGTGAGTGTTAATGTAACAGCTCTTAGTTGCAGTAAATTATTTCTGAATTAAACTGAGGCCATTATTTATGATTGACTATGGTATTTTGGCGATATCTTTTTCAAATTTGGGATTTAGTGAGGGCACTCGCAAGAAAATTAATGCTAACTGCTCTGTAGGTTTATTTTTGTTTGAACTCTGTTATTTAGTTTGCACCTTTATACAGTATAGACCACCTACAACGTAACCGCTTACAGTGCAGGACCGGGTATAACGCGGCTTTTTTAAACCACCGGTTCGCCTCCCATAGAACTCCATGTAATTACATACCGCTTAAAATGCAGGCGCACGAAGGGAAATACCGGTTATAGTGCGGTTTCTGTAACAGCCCGCCGACCGCGGCGACCAACCGACGCAGCGAGCACGCTTCCCTGTGCGACACTAGATAACGGCGCTAGCCGCAAGCGGCACTCGCGGGGCAAGGAGGTTGCTCGAAGAAGCGGGGAGAAGCGAAGAGAGAGGCTTCAGTTGCCATAGCGACGGAGACCGCACACGCGTGTCGTTCACGTGCGTGCTGTGCGTCCCTCCGCTCTGTGCGTTGGAAACAACCGCAACGACAGACCAATCGCAGGTCGAGGAGAAATGTTCGCGCGCGTTGCATGCCGGTCGTGGGCCGGCTGCTTCTATCCGCAAACATGGTGTCGGTTGTGATCGTCGACGTAGACGGTGTGGTGGACGCTCATCGTTCCCCGTAAAAGCGCTATCCTTGACTGTGAATTTTCGTTGTGTGTCGCTATGATAACCCATCATGTACTAGGAGGAAAGCTCCACCTATTCGTGCGGCGATGTCGTGGCGGCACTCTCAAGACGGCAGAAACGCCCGTGTCGTCGTGTTTGTTTACTTCGACTACAGTGGTGCTTTCTAAGCATTTGTGTTTTCGAACATCGCCCGGATTTCTTATTTGAAGCATTTCATGCCTGTGCTCAAGTTGAAGGTATTACTGGCGCGTACCGTAGAAGGGAGGTGAATTTTCACGCGTTTTTATCGCCAGAGAAAAGTGATTAGGGTTAGCAATCCTGAACGCTCGCAACGTCCGTCCCCAACCCGCGGCGCCGTTAGAAGGCTGCGCCAGGCAGAAGTCTCTCATGTCTTTCAAAATGTGTGACACACTTGAGAGAGAAGTTTACTAGTCTGGTGAAATAAAGACTTTCCTCTGACTAAGCTTTATTCTTCATCTAACATAAAATAAAGTCTTTTACAAAGGTAAGTTGTCTCATGGCATGTATTTTGGCCTGAAAAATTGATGTTTTGGTTATAACGCGGTACCGCTTATAGTGCGGATTTTCGCGACTTCCGCGACATACGTTATATGCGGTTTAACTGTATATGTTTTATCCATTCCAGGTACAGTCAATAGAATAAATTAAAACTAAATTCGGTGAAGCAGTAGAAAGCAGCTTGGGAAGAACTCTAATGACTTTGGCTGGATTGTTTTAACAAAGGCATACTTATCGTTTACATACCAATCTCGGTTATTATGAGGTTCTACATACAAAATGTCATCAATTTTTAATTTAATGACAAAATATTTTTATCGTTTTAGTTTGAATTAAAAATTTCTGTTTTATTACAACGAACTTGAAGGAAACACCGATTTGTGTGCTCAAGATTATTCTAACACTATTTTAGTAGAATATGCTATTTAGTTTACATCTTATTTTATACCTAAAATGACCATTGACAGCTGTCTAGTATACTGTCCTTCATCGATCAGCATCTTGTTGCCATGCCTAGTGCTTCTATCTGCAACAACACAGCTATTTCTGTGTTTGAGGAAATCAAACCTGCCATTGCACATAAGTGTGAAGGTAAAGCATGTTAGTTTTTTTAGTGGGACAGGCCAACACAGGAATCTTAACATAATATTGACAGTGGTATGAATAAAAATGAAGTGTGTGCTTGTGCTCCAAAACTGCTCCATAATGGATGTTTGACTGCTCCAAAAGGTGCCACAAAATTACTCGGGTCGATCGCATCACTGGCTTCACGCTCTCTCGAAAAAAGACATCTCAAGAATTTTTTTAGTATCTTTGGTTAACTACGTGAGGCTCAAAATAACCTTTGCACATTCCCAACGCACGAAACAGGCATCGGTTCTTGTCCACATACGCAAGTGCCTCCCACCAAAAAGGCGTCGCCGAGCAGGACATTTTGTCACCGGCTCGCCCCGTTGTCGTCTCGCTCGTTTCGACGGGCGGGCCGCTAAAGCTTCTCAACCCCCTTGCCGTCGGCAGCCCTGCACTTCGAGGACGTGCCCATCAACGTGGAGCCCGGCCTGTTCGAATGGCTGGCTTGGTACCCTGAAGGCACCCCCATCTGGATGACCCCCGCCGAGTTCAAGAGCATCGGCTACCACGTCAACACGGAGTACAAGCCCCTGATTGAGGCGGAGGACCTCGGGCACAAGAAGGAGTCGATCGAGCAGTACTACGTGCGCAGCTTCTACGTGGCCCAGAACCTCCTCAAGAAGACAGCCTCGGAAGGTGCGCAGCGTTCCCGCCAACCTGGTTTCGTAGGCACCAGCGTTGCGAGGGGGCTTGGGCTAAAGGCCGCTTCACACACTTGCGCCTGCTTTTGACCGAGTGCCTTAAAAACTCTCGGGATCTCTTACGACAAGAGAAGACACTGGTGCCGTCTATCGGGCTGCTCTGGAACTCTTGGCATTCCCGTATACTTTCTATTGTTTTCAGGCATCCTTCTTTCTTTCTTGGCTTGACAAACTTTCGACAATGTTACGAACGACTATTTCTCGTAGATAGTACATACATTTGATCTCGCAAATACTGCAAAACCCTTGCTATGGTGAAATGCAGTTCCGGAGTGACCCGATAGTTTGCATCGTTGCGGGTTAGCCCTGTTGAGTGCGCTTGTCACCGAGCACCCGTGCACTCCGGGTAAGCAATACCCACAAAGCCTGCGAACTCCGCGGTTACTGCTTCTCTGCAGTGCACAGGTGCTCGGTGAGAAGCACACTCAATGGGGCTAACTTGCTGCAATCAACACTTTTAAAAGTATGAATATCGCAGTTCATCTCGAAGCGAATGACAAGTAGCGCATTATTTTTAATTACTATTCGAAAATTCAAATATTCGCACAACATTACTAGTAATAATTATGAACATTTTCTTTATGCCTCGAGGAAAGTGTTCACTTTGGTAAAGTGAAGTTTTTCTATAACCTACTGCGTATTAGAATTCTGGCAGGGAACTTTCGAAATGCATGATAAGAGTTATTCAGAAATCTCAACTAAAATCAGGTTCACCGAATGGAGCCCTACACACACATGGTTGTTGGAGATTAAGCTAGGGAGAACTCGAACATATGCCAAGGAATGCTGTCTCAAAAGTTCCAACTTTATTCAGTATGCCTGCCGGGGTGCAAGCAGGAACCCGTGCAGTAAACGCATATACTATTCTCACTGACAGCTTAAGCAGTGCAGGGCATGGCTTACTAAGTTCATGCTTCTTGCTTTGTGATTTGTTCTTTGGCATTCGTATTGACAAATGCCCTAATGTCATTGGCGGTGGAGCGGTAAAGAGATGTCGAGGACGCACCACGCCTCGCTGTCCCTAAGCTCTCGTACCACCATGACCCGTTGCAGGGGGCAACGTGCTGCTGGTGGGGCATGCCGCCACCCTGGACACGTGCACACGCCAGCTGACGGGGCGCACACCCCGGTCGGCCGCAGATCTGGTGCAGCTGGTGCACAAGATCCCATACTGCGGGCTGTGCGTGGCCCAGGAGTCCGAGGGCGGCTGGTCCCTGGTGGCACCCCCCACACTGCCGCTGACCCACAGCGCCAACACCCGCTTCGACTGGCGCTCAATGCTCTCGGCGTAGGCGCTGTCGCGCGCAGTCCTGCCGGCTCCGGGGGTCACCATTCTGACGGCTCCCAGCGCCTGTGGCCTACCTGCCAGAGAGGGAGAGCAGGAGTGAGCCAATCTAACTGGCCGTTTCTCCGAGCCTCCGCTAAAGGCACGATGATTACAATAGTGGCGCCTTTAGAGCCTCAAAGCGTCGCGCAAAAAATTTAATTGTGCCGTTTTCCGCGGCGATCTCATTGCCGTGCATTTCGGAACTGCCGCGAGTCCTTGAGATGCTTTGAATGATTTTGGGCAATCCTAAAAAATTCAAGTGGGATTAGGGTGACTCCTAGGGCAAGGGCAGTGATGATGTTGAGCAAATGCAGTGAGCCTCGTGAGGTTAATTTATCAATTGCGTGCAGTCGCAGGATCCAAACAAGAACCAACCTTGTTGGGGATCTCCTACTCATGCGCGTCTGATTGGTATGACTCGTGTTAGAGGCATGCAGTTATGCCACGAGTCAAGCTGTTCTATCCTTAGAACGTTTAAATATTCATGTTACGGAAATCTGTTGTAAGCTGTGGTCACATACTTCTGAGGTTACGTTTCATGTGCACACTCCTCGTCTTGCCGCAATGCTTGGGCCGCCATTTGGCATTTTCGTATGTAAAAAAGGGCGAATTTTAGGCCCCTGGAACACTGCGTATTGGCTTCTGCAGGAGAATACTGATGACATTGTGTACCCTGAAGGAAGGTGAACCACCATGGAGCAGTTTCTTTTTTTTTTTATGCCCATTTTTCAGGCTGTTCCATTATATATAATGCAGAGCATTTGCAGGTGCACTATCTGTTTGCTTGCCATGCTCTGACTGAAAAAAGATTAACCAGACTTTACTTAACAGAAATAATATTTCACCCCCTATACAGGATTCAATTTCACTTGGAGCAATGTGCATGCTAATGCATCCTGTTTACATTCAAAGCTTGCTTGTCTGTCCAGTCGGAGGGGGAGGCCCATGGATCTCATAAGCTGTCTATGGATTACCTCAAATAACCTAAAACTCTCGAAGCTTCCCCGCTCCTCCTCTTCCCTGTTGTCGTTGCATCTTAGAAGATGAAAACATGCTCTTTTATCTAGACAAGATCCACTGTTTCCTTTTTTAGTTGTTGTTGGTGCTCTTGTCATTTGCTGTGCTCACGCTCTAATAGGCTCATTCTTCACTTGTGGATTGCCTCTCGGATCTAGCATGCTTTTTATTTGTCGTAGTTTATCTGATAGGTTGCTCTGATTTCGGTGTCGGAGGTAGTGGTATCCTTAACTCTTTCCGTACCACGCCCACAGTCCATCGATCACCTGTTATCGAGAGTTTCCACACGCCACCGAAATTTGCATTTAGTGCGCAGGAACAGATTGCGCCATCTCGTGAATAGCCGAAGAACTACAGCTTCAGTTTCGATTTCGTTTCGCGCTCTCTCCAAGCTGGTGTGCTATCAGAAATAAACCTTTGCACTGCAGTGGCACTTGTCAGGAGCGGCATCCTGCTGACATTGAGGACCGCTACAAAGACAGCCCCAATTTTCAATATATAACTGCTTTTTCTGATTGTTTCTTTGGATGACAGCAACAGTGAGGACTGTGAATGATGTCGGATTGTTCGATTTGAGCTCCTACAGGGATGTTTTATATCCGAAACACAGAAGATCGACAGGTGCTCGTTTGATAGAGTCAGTCTAGCTTTCTAAGCTGTCCTGAGCCGGGGCACACCGTTTTATGTGTGTCGCATACCATGAAAACAGCAGCAGAGGAGAAGCTAGAGCAGTGCTACAACAAACTAAGGTTGTGTGAGCAAAAAAATGTTCTTGAGGACATGCACCTCCAAATGCAACAGCATCTCTCAGTGGCATGATGCCATGAATGCACACTTGGCATTGGACCAAAAAAAGCAGTATCAGATAGTTTTCTAACTTACAGGCCACTAACTTATAGTGGTGTCTATGAAGCACAATTTCTGTATGTAGGGATTTTTTTTTTTTCTTTCTTCAATTATATTTTGATATTATATAACTGCAAATGTTTAAACTTTTTCTTCTCATTTTTGCACAAACTCCAAGTTCAGCATTTAAGTTGGACTAACTTTTTTTCCGACATTAATGAAAATAGTTAAATTCTAAAGAGCAGCTTATTGGCTTCATTTGGATGTATCATAATTTGCCATATGTGACTAGTTTTCTAAATAAAAAAATGTTTAGTCCATCCCTCTATAATCCCTGCTTTTCCCTGTGGTGTGGAAAAAGTTAAGTTCAAAAACAAGTGTTGCATATTGTCCAGTGTGGTTTATTCTCTGTAAATTCTGAATGGCTTCAACATGTAGCATGCCCCCCCTCTGACACACGACAAACCCCTTTTTCTGGGATATCTCAAAAAAGGGGCGCGCGTCGCGGTGTTTAAAAATCCTTTTTTAGGCCGAAAAAGGCCATGCGTGTTTGTAATTTTGGATTTTATAGGATGCTGAGGGTGCGTAGATTGAGTTTGTGCCATAAAAGACCATATCAAAATTCACATTAGTGCCCCTTTAACTAAATCTTTTAGGTAAGTGAAATCAGGTTTAATTGGTTTCATCATGTTGTTGCCCAGTTTCTGGAGCATTTTTGCAGTGTTCAAGCTGCTCAAATTCAAATTAATCACACTTTTACTATGCTCTACTCTGTTTTTTATTCTGAGAGAAAATAATTCTTTTATCTGTCGAGTGACTGATGTTAATCTTGGCAAGTATAAGACAAAATTGTGTCCCAAGCCCATTCAGTTCCAACCACTGAGTCTATTTTAGTCAACTATTTCAGTCTATACTTCGTTGCACAGTAAGTGGGAGCAAGAGCCACGGAATGTTCTGCCTCAAATGACATTTTCACTATGTGAGCACAAGGGCATGAAAAGCATGTTCAAAGTCTGGTGCTTGTTCAAGCATCATCTGGTTTGCTCACACTTAGGGTGGAACAGAATCCAGATTGTTAGCTTTCGCCAAATGTTGCATTACTTCAGAGCTTGTTTATTGAGGAACAGACCAGGATGCACCCAGGAAATGTTAGTTAAGGCTAATTCACACTGTTGCAACCGAGTCTGACAAAACCAGTTTTTAAGCCTCTTGTGACGGCTTACGACCGTGCCACGCAGCAGCGTCGTCTTTCGTAAGCGGCTGAAAACCCCGTCTTCTTGGACTCAGTGGTAGTCGGTTGCAACAGCATGAACCAGCCTTTATTCGGTTCATTGGCATACTTTGCAATGGTAGCTACTCATGAGCTGTAATACCCAGGTGGATGCACATTCTCTTTCTATTGGTAACTGGGCTTGCAAGCATGTATCTGATCATGAGTATTGTGCATGGAGGACCACTCCGACAGGGGATTGTATCCTGACATATCTGTTGTGAGAGGATACACTAGTGTGAATTCATCATGTAAATTCGAAAGTTTTTGACCATTGCAGTTTTCTTGGCACTTTGGAAACAATTGACTGTGAAGGTTGACTGTAAAAGGAAATGCTGGTGAAGGAAGGTTATTTGTACGAAGCTTGTTCTGTATGGTGTGTGCTCAAGTTTGTCTATTTATAGCTTTTTTTTCAGCCATACGTGTTACTTTGGAATGTAGCAGCACAGTCACTGATAGTGATATGAATACTGTTTCTTTAGGATGGGCTAAAATCCTATGATAGGAATATGCTTTTACAGTTTATTGAGGTTTGTGTACAGGTTCGGAAATATGATGCCCTTTATTTTAGACTTCAGCTTTGTTCTTAAACTAAAACGAGGGCAAAATGCATCCATTGCTGCGGTTATTTCTTGTTTACTTTAGATTCCACTTTTTTCACAAATTGAATAATTAAAAATTCCTGTTGTATCGAGTTGGGGCTGGCTGTTGAAAAACTTCTTAGTATTGCCACTCTCCTAAGCATTCCAAAATACCTTTGGTAGCTACACAGCTGCTCTACAGTTTTTAGGTGCCAATATGCCGATAGGGTTAACAAATCATTTATCTGTCACAATGTTATGCCAAGCTAATAAGAATTACCTTTCACTATTTTGCTTTTAATGCACAAGGAGGAAAACAAACGATTCGGCAGAGACAGTCTCTTAAGACTGCTTACATGTAGGAATGCTCTCGCATTCCTACGTGCAGCGCATTCTTACAAGCAGCGTGCCACGTCTTTGTTTTTCACACGGCGCTCCAGCGGTGACATCACACTTCCCCATTGCGCAGGCGTAGCCAGTGAACCCTGCCGGCTTCACGATGGCTTCCGTGTTAAGGTATCTGCGTTGCTGTGCTTTTCTTTTTGTTTCATTTCTGAGGCGCATCCACTTCGACCTTGAGCGGCGCATGCTTGATGACATATTTTTATGACCATCTTTCGGGCACAACGCTGACGCCTTTTCACATAATGGGACAACGAAGGCTTTCGCCTTAAAACTAGTAGCCCATTCTCTGAATTTCATTCCTCTTCATTGTTATTTTAAAAAGATTGATGGCCAGCAGTTGAAGCTTGATTTTTTGTACAACTGCAGCTGGTATGAAATTTGCTGGTCTGTACTTTTTGTCACAGGCAGGATAAGTTAAACAGAGCTAAGGTTATGTGTGCCTACAGATTGTGCTCACTGTATGCATTGATCACAAGAGAAACTACAAGTATATCGAGTACCACCCATCTATGAGAGCAAGAATGCGAAGAAAACCGAATCCCAAACCTCACGCTGAAACAGCGTTTTGAATAAGCAAGACAGCACTGTCTAATCGGGCATATGCTGGTACCAGTTCCGCATTGCATGCTTCCTGAGCATTATTTTTCTTCTCGTCGCCACAACCGCAGCCATTGGTTGCACGCTTCTCAGACTTTTTTCTTTTGGGCAGCTGGAATTGACCCATCAATGCCTGGCCAAGTTATAGATTGCATTGTTTGCAAAGGTTCTATCAGATGGCTTGAAAGCAGGTACCTTTGGTGGAAGCCTACATTATTGAGGCATTCACCTGCTAAAACACCGTCTGCCATGAATTCCATGCTAGAGTTCCCATGTTTTAGAGCGCAGCTTTTAGGGGCCCGTTTCCGGCTTGAGCGGCGTCGGCGTAACCGCGAGGTCACGTGACCCCCCCCCCCCCCCCCCCCGAGGTCACGTGACCCACCCAGGTCACGTGACACCCCTAGGTCACATGACCCTCGAGGTCACGTGACCCCCTGAGGTCACGTGACCTTCAGAAGTCACGTGACCCCCTGAAGTCACGTGATCCCCTTGAGGTCACGTGACCCCCTGAGGTCACCTGACCCCTTGAGGTCACGTGACCCCCTTGAGGTCACGTGACCTCAAGGAGTCACCTATCCCTCAGAACGCTTCCATCTTCCTCCTCAAGAGCTGCGCTCTAACCGGCGTTACAGGGAATTGTAAACGGCTTTCATTTTTTCAAGAAACAGATGGGTTACGTTCGATGTATTGTTTGTTGGTAGAAATATTACAATTGATAAATCCACACAATGAATGTCCAGGTAAATAATAGCATGCAATTGTAAATATTATGGGCTAGAGTGGGAGGCTTTTGGCATGCTCGGCTGTTAAAGCTGTATAAACTTCTAAACCAAATATTGCTAAAAGCATTAAACGGCACGATTATCTTTTTATTTTATTTTCTTAATATTTAAGGGTGGTGCATTTTATCTAGCTTGATGTTTTATGGAACTCTCTCTTTTGGTGTTGTACGGAATAGACAAAGTATCCTTGTTTTGTGTATCTGCGACGTTCTGCTGCAAGCTTGTAGCAATTCAGCTGTTGTAAAGTGTTCATGCATGTGCTCTGTGGTGGCATTTTTGTGATGTTCTAAAATGTTCTATTAAATATTCCCATGCTGGTTGTTGGGAAAAGGGCTTTCCAAGGCTATGAATGCTGGTGCACCAAAACATAATTTCTTCTGTGGTTTTTCAGCTGTGTAAACTTGCACATGTTGATGCTTTTTACGTTGTTCATTGTACTGTGCTATGACCTAAAGTGCCATTGGGTCTGGGTGGTTTTTATTTTAACACTGCTGGCAAAAATTTCTTGTCAGACAGTGGGGTGCTGTTGCTGCGACGATTATAACAGCATCCTCCAACGTGGCTTACAACTGATTTTGTTGTTTTTGTCAATGTGTTAGCGTTCTCCTGTCGTTAATTTATGGCTTGTAAATACACAGGTCCTCAAGATGCGAAATCTGAGGTGTAAAAATGGTCAGGTGTGGTTCTGTACATTACTGGTTGTTTGTAAGCGAGCTGTCTAGAGTGTATTTTAAACTTGATGCACACAATTTGAGGTGTAAAGCAAACAAGTTCACCAATTAAATTATTTCTTGTTAATTATGTTTTCTTTTGTGTTATTTGTCTCCTTTTTATTCCAACTGCCAACTGAAGATCAAGAGAGGTCATGTGTGATGTTACATACTTGCACTGCATGAGCATGAAGTCTGCCTGGTTGTTTGGCCAGTGTGGCATGACTGCGCATGTTGCACCCTATGTGGAGAGGAAGTCGTCTGCTTCTTGCGCAGGTGTTGCGGTGATGTCAGAATGACGCTGAGCTCTGGTTGGCTTTGATTGAAAGGGCAGTAGGTGGACCTCAATGCTAGATGCCTTGAGGTCTACCCACTATTTTTTTCAATCAGCAAATAAGAGCTCAGCATTCCGATATCATCGCAGCCCCTGTGCAAGAAGCAAACAAACTTGCACTTTGCATTGAACTCGCACTTTTAGTGTCTCTTTGTAAAAAATGTGTTGAATTGCCATCTGACTTAAATAACAATACTACTTATGATGCCTCTCGAATGAAGACATAGACACAAACATCTTGAACATGGCTTCGTTTATAACTCTACATAGGAGCACTCAACGCTCACTCCTCGCATGCTGCGAGAATTTCCTTGACATATTTACAAAATTTGCATCTATGCAAGTGAGGTACACTCCATGTCATTTACAGCTGGGTATTTGAAAAGAAAAAGTATTACTTCTAAAGGCAAGCGTGCTACTCCGTTTTACACCACCACATTGATGGCCCGTACATGTCGGCTCCTTAAAAAATGAGCACACTGCTACACGTGGCTTGGAGGACTCGCTGACTGCACAGCCGTACCAGAACTGTTTTGAATGCCGTGGTGTTCCCGAGTAGAAAATGTGGCGCGTCGGACAAGGCAAGCACGACTCGGGGCCAAGATGTATGTAAAGTCTCCGCCAATATGAAAGACCCACCTGGAGTGCAAGGCAGAGACAGCGGCTGGTGTGGGGCACAGCGCACATTGTGCACAGTTTCATATCGTTGCAAGGGGAGTAAAACTCTACGATGCAGCCACACAGGCGAAATGCCTCCCTTTCCCTCGAAGTGACACGGAATCGCCCAAAGCATGAACAACGCCCCCCCCCCCCCCCCCCCCACACACACACACACAAGCCACCGTCTCCACCACATGTTCAAAGTAGGCCTTTCATGTCGGAGACTGTACTATGCCAAACTTTGTTCAGTAAAACACGCGAGCGGTGGCCGGACTGTAGCCCCCATATGGGAGGCACTCCACAAGGGGCAATTCCAAGTGGGTGTCACCTAACTCTCGGGTGATGTTCCTGGAAGTGCCCGCCATCTGGTGCTGGCCATATGAAGCAGCCTCTGTTCATGTGTTACAGCTCATTAACTCCAGCATAGTATATCTCTTGTGGCCATATCCACCCGACTTCAATTCACAATTTGTGGAAGCTTACCCCCCACCCCAATGCCGATCGGAGAGTACAGCAGCATCTTGTCAGCTCAAGAGTTCAAGCAAAACAACCGAATGTGCATTGTTTCACAATAGAAATTCTCCATCAGCATTACCATCTGTTGACTAACAGTGCTATGCTGATAAGCATCAACCAACTAGTTCTAAGAGCATATGAATGAACTGTGACTCAATTTCTTTGTAGCAGTGTTCGGCGGCGTTGCATAACTTAGGTATATAAGCATTGCAGCAAACCGACGAAAGGTCTTGCCTCCCGTTATACTAAAAGCATTCTCCAAGGCAAAAGGATGGCACAGACAGCTTGTCTAGACAAAAAAAAAAAAAAATATACACCAAAATATAATTGCAAAATAATTTGACAACAATATCTGCAGTCTTGCATGTGACCAATATAAAGAAAAGATTTGCAGACACTTGATGCATGCCTTGGTATTGGCAGCAAGAGGCATGTTGGAGACACTGGTGAATGTTGAGTCTATCGTGCCTGCTTCGAGCAAAGGAAGGAGTTGAATCCTTCAAGATTTTTATGAAAGCCCACCAGTGGCGACGTCCAGACTTTTCAGCACCAACATGCTTTGTAGCAAAATGAAGATGAGCTGCTCTTGCCAACATGTCAATACAACAAACTTTCATGCTTCTTTGAGCATTAAACTTAGCTTCATAAAGTTAAGAATGTTGCGAGTTACACTTCATAACTGCGAATGAGTAGAAATACTGATTGAGCCAAAGTACAAACAGGATAGTTTTAACAGCAAGCGGCATTCCACATGCAACAGTAAGTTGCCATGCTTACTGACCACCAGTTCCCCGGATGACTTTCAGTTGTATTCCCATCGTGCACGTACCGCAAATGGCAATAGCAGTTAGCTGAAATGACAGTTCAAAGTTTAGCAAATTAATGCATGTCGCATAGAAGGCAATCTGCCGGGAGAGCATGCCAAATGTTTTATTGCCGAAATGGCAGACAGCGGAATGTCATTTAATATTCTAAAGCGACTGGAGTATTCCTCCCAGAGAATAGCATTGGACCGTGTACACGGTCCATGCCGTTGTGCGGATGGCCAGATCGTCCCTTAGGACCTAGGAGGAGGCTTGACTAAATTTCGAAGACCATGGAATGCACCATATGTAAAACTCCGTTCAACTTAATAAACTTTAATAAACACAACAACTGCATGGCAATTATAACATCCTAGTGCTCGGAACATAAGGCAGGGGCGGAGGGAAAAAGAAAAAAAAAGGGCTGGATCTGGGCTATGAGTAATAGGTCGGAACAATATACAATCATTTGACACGATCAAGGTAACGAAAGTCCAGCAGCGGCTTTGTGGCGGTGGCTGGCTCTCCCTCCCGTTTTCAGATGGGCTTGTAGAGCAGCGTGGTGACGTACTTCTTGCGGTACCTGTGCGTTGCACTGAGGACCATGACTCCGTCCTTGATGGACAGTGCGTACAGGTGGTTCAACATGACGTGGTTGGGCTCCGGCAGCAGGGTGGGCTCACACCGCACGGGGACATCCTTGTTCAGGATCACCTGGAGCAGGTGCGGAGGCAGCACGGGCGGTCCCGTCGACTTCTCGTACGGCTTGGGCTGCGGCGGCTCCTGGCCGTAGTCGCCCGGTGGTGAGCCGGAGACGCTCTGCGCGCCGCTTCCCGAGTTCACACTGTCCATGGCCAGCGCCTCGAAGACCTCGAAGTCGGACTGTTTGACGTTGATAAGGTTGTTCTTGGTGCCGAGGTCGTTGTCCACGGTCGGTTCGTTTTGGTCGTGTACCCACTGGCCGTCCACCATGAATTTGTACTGGTGGTCACCCTCGGGGACGTCGAGGATGACGACGAAGTCGCCGTGGCTGTGCACCATCGGGATGGGCTTCCAGTTGGTGAAGGTGCCGCTAATGCACACGTCCTTCCCACCGCCTTCCCACTTGAAGACGGTCGGGAGCGGGGCGTTCAGCTGCGAGTTTCCCTCGAGGGTGGACGCCCGGGGACGGATGTCGGCGTCGCCCTTCCTGAAGCTCGGGAAGTCCTCGGAGTCGTCGAGGGAAGCCTGGTAGATGAAACGGCTCTTCCTCGAACTGCTGGTTGTGAACTCGAAAGCACGGTCATCCTTGCCGGGCGACGACGGCGGATCCGTGTCCGTGGAGAAGGCCCGGTCGCGTTTGCTACCTGACCCGGTGTTGCCCATCTGGCGACTCCGCTGGGTATCGCCGCCGTGGTGAAGCTACAAATAATAATCTATATAACTTTATACGCGATTTGGTAAACAAAATTAATCACAGGCAGCCATTTTATTTGCGTTTCAGCACGCTGTTGCCAGACGTGTTGTTGAAAGGGGAATCAAGGAAATCCAGCGAAAAGTTGAAATCGACGATTCAACTCCTGCAATTTCTGGCCTTTTCTTTGGCAATTTGGATTCTAAGAGAGCTGAAAACCGGCAATTTTTCTGCACAGGAACTTACAAAGCAAAAACACTGAAATCATGTGCCCGCGCATTGTTTTGAGCGCGTACAAGTTTCCTTCGTGTTTAAAGTAAACTTATTCTTATTCGTTTATTGTACCTTATTAAAATATTTTGTATTGCGTCAGTAAATATTTTATCTGCATTTCAGATGTAAGCGCAGTATTTTCAGACTGAGGACTGCCTCAGAGGCCCGAGGGGCTCATAGCAACCGCTTTGTTGACTGCCAGCAACCATGTTCACATTTCTCCACATTTCTCTCCGCGCCCGGTGGCGGTGATCAACTAACGTATGATTTTGCGTCCTCATCGCCTGCTGTAATATCGAAGCGGGCAATTGAAAACTCCTCTTCACAATTGCAGGTATTTTTTACCACGGCACATTTCAGAATATTTTACCTATTTTCCAGCCGCTGTAACCCAACCACCTCCTCAATCTACGAATCGGTGTTAGGTACTGCGCTATAAATTCCCCTGGGAGCTACACAGCTGACTGCAATCTGTTATTTCGTAGTTGCGGCCTTTTGGGTTAGTATGATGATGTGCTTTGCTCACTCCGTATTTAAATAGCAGCCTTTTATTGATATCCGATTGTTTATTTTCGAGTTAAAATTTTATGCCCAGACAAATCCTTGAGGCTGTAATTTGGCAGCGACTACGCGGGGATTTTGGTATCATTTTCTGGGCTTGTATTACAAGCTCTGTTGCGAAGCTTTTGTTACTCTGTAGGCAGTTCATATATATTGAAAAAAATGAAAGATTCTCTAGTTTGCGCCGTCAAGCGTGTTACACAGTGCTTCGGTGACACCCAGAACGGGAGGTCGGCTTGGAGCTTTCCATGCAGCTGCGTGAGCAGTTGTTCGCATCTTTCTTGTGCGTGTGCGACGTTGCACACCTGTTCGTACAGAAGGCAACGTTACTAGATTTTGTACATATAGCTCCCTTCGATAACACTTTAATGCTGTTTGAAATGCACGAGTTGACTCAACTTCTTCAGTAATGCATGTTTTAGTTTCCCTCACACCTGATGAACTAAATTGTGCGTATTTATTGCCCTTATAATTTCTGGCCTTTTCGGTATGTATGTACATAGCATGTACATACATACTGTCAGGCTAAGTTATATCCTATCTAGTGTTTTTACTTTTTTTTTTCTTTCTCGGTTTGTACTGTGGGTACAACCAATCCAATAATGCACAAAATAACCCAATAAAAAAAAAAACAGTTTAAAAATTCTTTGCTGCAGGACGCCCGCATTATTTCCCCCTAAATTGAAAATCACCAGCTCTCAAAAGCCATGCACTGCCATCCCCTTTCCATTTCCGTAGGCTTTTAACCACGAGTCCCGTTATTGCATGACCGTCTCCGATCAAGCCCAGACGCCTGCATTCTCTATTCATTGTTTGGATTTTGGGGCCCCACTGTTCGACACACGACTTCTGCCTCCCAGACGTTCATATATCCTTGAGAAAACAAGAAAGATTATACAGTTTGCTCCATTAGGAATGTCACATGGCGCTTCAGTAACAACCAAAACAGGAGGTCGGCTTGAAGCTTTCCACGTAGCCGTGTGAAGGTTACACAGTTGTTCTTTACCTTATTGTGTGTGGGATGTTACACATACAAAACAGGTTATCCTGCCTTCATTATCAGAGCCCACAAAAAACGGGGACCAAAAGAAGACTCGTACAACAAACATTAAGTGCGAACGAGAAGGAGTGTTGTCCTTCTCGTTAAAGTTAAAACAATGCGAAACAGCAGAGTGTGGACGAACAACTTGAAAGAGGCCTAGACTGGTGAAGACATTTTACAGCATGGGCAATATATATTAGATTATGGAATGTCGAACCAGCCACTAGTTGTTATCCTTGTGATCTGAATCATTGACAGTGTCCTTGGGAAGCCTCATCCTAATATTTACACTGATAAGTGATTTAATAGTGTAGATTGTTTTGGGAATAGTGGTATGCTTCTATGTAAATAAAAAGATTTTGCTATGTTGGGAAGCATCAAACTGACTGTGAATCACCGAGGGAAAAAAGTGCATCTTGATTAGAAAACAAAACAGTAAGGGGGGTCAATGGTTTGGCAGTAGTGGTGTAATAAAGGAATTGGGCACAGGCTTTTTGATAGTCGAGGATTGTAAGACAGCTCGTAAGATTTTAAGATTGCGCCAAAGTGCTTACCCTGCTACATTTTGCTACATTTTACCAAGATCTGGGGAATTCATGCCAACATTGCTCCAAAACTTGATTTCAACTTAGTAACACGCAACTTGGCTGGAGCGATATGATTATGCAAGTTTTCACAACTTTAGATTATCACATCAAATAACGTACTACTCAATCTGATTTCGCATCAAACACTGACAGTACTCAGAAGTTCCGAAATAATTCTCGTATATGCAGGTACCTAGCCAGGGGGAGGCCCATGGGGCCCGGCCCCCCCCCCCCCCCCCCCCCCCCCCCAAAATCTTCCATTTTGCTGTGACCCACCCCCCCCGAAACAAAATCCTGGCTACGTGCCTGCATGTATGTATTCTGTACTGGTGGGTTAGCTAGTCTTGTTGAGTGCGCTTCTCACCGCATGCTGGTGTACTGCAGTGAGGCGACAACCACAGAGTGGCCATCGCGATTTTACCACAGCGCACCTGCGCGCTAAGGGGAAAGCATCTCTCCGGAGCAAGACATAACAATTTTTTAATAAAACTTCGCCTTGTGTATGTGCTTGACTGATTGCGATATCTTGGCGGTATCTTTTTCAAATTCTAAATTTAGCAAGGGTACTTGGGTATTGCAAAAATATTTATAAGGACTTTTCTTTAGGTTTATGCCTTATGCCAACTTTTTCTAAATTAGCAGAAGTAGTGGATGCCAGCTCGGGAAGAACAATAACGAAGGCCTATTAATCATAATAATAATAATCTCTTTATTTCATTTTAGGATTAGGGGACCTGAACAAAAAGCTGCAATGGCAGATTGACAAGAGTCCGGGACACCTTTACAGCAGGTGAAATCCAACGAAACACTAATTTACAAAAGAAAAATAGTACAGAAATAAAATGAAACACGGTATGTCACTTTTGCCAAAGCACACAAAAATACAACATAAAGAACAAAAATGTAGCATTCAACACAGGGCAGTGTGTATATACTATATATAATGTAGGAAAAAAAAAAAAAAAAAAAACTTAATAATATGCACATATATACTTAATAATATGCACATATAATATGCAGTGTCATTGCATCAATGTCCAAGCCCTTAAGAAGTAACTACTTTAATATGGCAATCAATTGGTGATTTAATGTGTGCACGAAAGTGTATTAACATGCCATTTTCTTTTGCACGTAGTTCAAATGAAGAAGTGAATAGGCTAACGTTACTGAGCTTTATAAAAAGAGCTATTTTCAATCTGTTAAGACTTCTTGACAGGAAGCCTGTATTGATAAATAATGTGAATGGGTTTTATATTAAATAATAAATACTTTTTCAGTGTGATGATGTGACATATTGGCAATGGCACGCAAACTTTTTTTTTTTTTCAAAAGGTGAAGTTTGTTTATGTTTATCTTGGTCGTGTTTTCCCATACTAAATGACAGTAATTCAGTTGCGAATAGCCGAATGATTGATAAAGTCGACGTTTGACAAACTACGTACCTAATAACGATTTTAATAGTTGACAAGCCAATTTTTGTCATGAAGTTCTAGATATAAAATGTAATTAACATTTCATAATCAAATGACAAGGGTTTTTTTTTTTCAGTTAAGAATTGCAGTTTTATTGCAACCTCTAGAACATTAAGCAAAACATATTTTATTCTAGCATTATTTCACTGGGATTCCGTACCTAAAATAACCATTCACCGCAGTTCATGTTGCCCTCCAGTCATCAAAGACGGGAAGGGGAGGAGGAAGCAGACGGGGGGGGGGGGGGGGGGGGGGGGGGGGGCGGCGGCGGTGGCGGCGTTAAAGAGGGAAGGAGGTTCCCCTCTCTCTTCTCCAGCGTTCCGCCTGCTTCCTCCCTCCCGGCCCGTCTCAGTCTCGCCCTCTGAACAGCTAGTTTTGTGTTTGAGGGAATCGATCCTGGTGTGCAATCGATGATAAAAGCACATAAGTGAGAAGGCAAACTAGACTTTGCCTAGCTGGACAGGTCAACACATAAATCTTAACGTGATATTTGCAGTGTTATAAATGAAAATGGAAGTGTGCGCTTACGCTCCAAAAGTTCTTTTGGCTACTCCAAGCGCCGCTCCAGAATGACTCAGACCTATCACATCACTGAAGTTCTGAGTGCTATGACATAGTCTGCTGCTTATGAAGTGCTCGCGACAAGAAAATACCCCTTTGGTTCTGGAGCAGTTAACTATAAGGATGAGGGAATGTTTATTTATTAAAGGTGCCGTGCCACGATATTCGCTTGAAATGTTTTTCACTTTACACGAGCTTACTGGCACTAGTGGGACCTAAGTATACTCGCACGCAGCGCCAACGACAAGGAGACTGCTTTGTTGCAGTCAGGCACGTAGCCAGGATTTTGTTTCGGGGGGGGGGGGGGGGGGGGGGGGGGGGGGGGGCGGAGGGCGGAGGGGGGTCAACTTTCGCTTGCGGTCCGAAACGTGGTTATTATTATTTTCATACGCGTTTTCACGCCGCCAGCTTTGCGCCTGTAGCACGAGCAGGAACTTTAGCGCACCACCGCGCTTAACACATATGCTTCAAACTTTTCTTTTTTTTAATTTGATTGATTTAAGGTTTTTTGATGATGCTCGACAAGTTTGTAATTGGAACCATATCATTATTTGCATTATTTTAAAAGTTAAATAACGAATTTTAGTTAATTAGCCGGCTTACCATGAGGATCATCCTCCTAGATTAGGGAGTCTTTGTAGATAATGTTTGGCGTCGTACAACGTTCTCCGCAACCCGCTACGATACCCGGAATTCTACAGCCAAGACCATCGGCGCGCAGGCGCAGTAGCTGCTTCTTCGTAGCGGAGGGCTTTGCGGAGGTGGAAACGCGGTCTACGAAAACTCTCTATTATGTCCTCCTGGTCGTATAACGCACCTGCACAAACCTCATTAGTCTACCTCTCGTGACTTTTTTTTTTTTTAATAGGTATGTTCGAATTAAAATTAAACACGCCGTGTATTAGATGCTTTTCCGTTTTCTTAGCTGGACACTGTTCCAGTATCTTTTATATTGCAAGTCAATTTTCTACCATTGTTTCCTTTATGTAATGTTAGGTAACCTCTAGCCCTTGGAGTGTTGCTTCTAAATTATCTGCCTATGCGTTTTTCCCTCTGCTAGGATGCAAGCTGACTGTGCTGTGCTATTAAACTGTTGCATAAAAAATGGCTGCCGACACGAGAGATTCCATGTACGGGACCAATAAATCCATCCTTGAGCGAGAATCGTCCTTCTCACGACTGTCTACGGCCATGGTTGGACGTGCCCACAAGCTAGAAGCCGCAGAACCGGTCAACGCTGGCTCGTGCAGAGCTCTCGTCGAGGAGGGCGACCCTGGTGCCAAGATAAAGGCTACAGAGGTGTCTGCAATAGCTGTTTCAACAGTGCCTTCGAACTGTCAACCAAAAGGTCGAGGGATGCTTTGGGAGTGGAAGTCACTGAAAGAATGTAAGTCATGTTTTTGATTTTCGTTCATGGTGTCTGTGAAACTCTCAGGGGTTTCGAGAGAGGAAGAGTTTTTACGGACGTAGCAGGAAGGTTGGCGAGACCTTTCGGCAGTCATCTTACAATGCTTGATCATGTCAGTGTTCATTACCCAGCTTCATGAGGTGGCATGTGTTGGAAACCAATTCAGCACTTGTCTGTAACCGAAAAGGAAGCAAAAAAAAAATGAATCTGGGAATTTGTAATTTCAATAAACATTTCCTTTATGGGTATGCCAAATTTGGATCTAACTTCATTGAATGCTGATGATGATGAGGGCTTGTGCTGATGATGATCAGGGCTTGTTTGTACTAAACAGATTACGAACTAAGAGTATTCTGAAGAAACATACAGTGTAACTATTTTTAATTATTATTTTTTTTAAGGTGGGGAGAGTTAGACAATTGCTGTTTTCACCATGTGTTTACCAGGCTCGGCGGACGTTAGATGAGGGGATTATCGTCAAAATAAGCTGACTAATTAAGTAAAAAAATATATTAGTTTTTTATCATTGGTTTTGGGGGTCATGTTGCAATTGGAATACTTTCGGGAATTACTATCACAGGCCAGAGTAATCTAAAGAATTTGCGATAAGGTAATAGAGTTCTACATATTAATCGATCAATTATGTTTTTTCGCCGGACTCAAAAATTGTTTGCTAAAAGAGCGTTACAAGCCCTGCCCACAATGGCGTTTAGAAGAATGATGTTGGTTCAGTCGCGTCGTCACTTGTGTCGTCAGCGCACCTATCAAGGGCACGCTGCCTATTCGCGACTCCAGCAAAACGGACGCCGCCAAGCGGGAAAACCGGGAACCAGCCGGTCCAGGTCGCTCCGCGCCCCTCCGCGTCTCTGGTGGCTTTCGCGGAGACGTGTTGTCGGCGCGGTGGCGAACAATGTAATTTGACGAAGGTCCGAATATTTCTTAAGTTTGCCTGAGTGATCATTAGTGTAGTGAAGCCTCAGTAAATTGTTTTCTTCTATTATGTGTTTGAAAGCCCGTTTACTCCACAGCACACGGTCGCGTGCTTTCGATTTCTTGGATGGGGAGGAATCACGGAAAAACTTTTTGATTTCTTGTCTGTCTCGAATCACATTCAGAGTGACGACTGCTTGGTAACTGATACTGGAGGGAACATCAATGTTGCAGTCAAGTGAATGGGAAGGGTCGATAGCTGCTTTTCTTGAGTTTGGTTGTGTTCGATTAGCTTAAAGTTTGAGCCACCCACGCCGGTCGGTGCGTTGGCTATTCATCTTGGCTGCTTTTCGCCGAAAAAAGCCTTTGGACCACACTGAAGGAGTTGGGCTGATTTCGCAATTACTTGATTCAGGAAAACTTGCTCGCTGCAAATGATGAATGAGGGAAATTCTCTGTTTTCAAAAGATGGGAGACAAGTCTCGCAACGTTAGATGCTGCCACGGCATTTTGACCTATCGCGCGTCCAATATTTATATTACCAGGACGTCGAAGCCAGCAGTAATATACGTCTACATTGATCAGGTTGACCAGCCACAAAAAAATACTAATTTTCTCTGTTCAGGATTCGAAGCAAAGTTCAATGCAGAGAGGTTCTGCGTGGATCTTCAGTGAAGACTCTCTTCAGTTTGTCTCCGTGCTGCCGGATATAGAACCATTTGGCTAAATTTAAGTAGTATGTCTTCGTCTGTCAAATATACTTTTATTCAGCAGCTCACCTAATAGCTAGTCAACTAAGCTCATATTTCAACCCGAAGGATATACTAATATCGCTTTAGTGGGACCATAGTACGTAATATAATACATAACCCGCTCGTCAAAAATGACTTCTCGATTGCTACTAAAACCTGAATTGAAATACGAGTATCAGCTGCTTAGTGGGGCGCCGGCGGGTTAACATGGTCCTTGGCTCAAAAAGCGGTTGCTTAATTTTCGTAATTTTCCTGCAGCCTGTGTTGATGGCCGAGCAGACGACTGGAGCTGTTTCGTAAACGCGGATACGCACAAAAGCTCGATTCCGCAGACAGATAAGTCGCACGGTCGAGGCATGCGAGTTAGCTGAAAAGTTACTATCTGTGGAACAATTCTATAGTCATCGCCGCTTTCCTTAGATGATCAAAACTGATTAGTATATTACCGTCTCTCCGGAGCCCATAGTTTCGGTTTTGAACGAAATCTCCGAAACGAAACTTTGACACGAAAAGAACAAAAAAACACCGGCAAAGCAACACTATGCTTTGCAAGTTTACCTGCACCGGCTACACTTCACCGTCTCAGTTCAAATACCTATAAAATTGGGCATTAAACAAAAGAAAATCTGTTAAATTGTACGCGCCACCCATTCAGGCGGCCCGGCCGAGCCGCCACGACCTGGACTCAGCCGCCATGTTTGTTTGGTGGTGGCGCCCCCTATAGGTCGCTGGAGTCGCGATAGTGACAGCACGATTCAAACGACTACGTCACTCAAGCGTCATTGTGGGCAGCTCAATTTTTACATAGAGTAAAGAAACGGCGAAAACGGATAAATATCAAGAAGACCATTACCTTTTTTTAAAATTCTTTAAATTGGTTTAGCCTATGATAGTAATTTTTGTAAAGACAAATGTCCTGTAAAACCAATAATTAAAAAATTTGCCGGATTTTAGTTCATTAGCCCCCTTATCATGACCATTATCAAGTGCCCGCCGAACCTGATACACGGTGAAAACGGTACTAGTCTCTTCTCCTTTTTAAAAAAGCTGTTCAAACTAAAATCAAACACCCCGTATATATTCTCACGAATGACGAGGTGGCGAAACAAAGAGCAGCTGAGGAAACTGAAACGTTTAATGGGGCGAACTTGTGCCCAAAACAAAAGGGGAACAGAATATAACAACAGAGCGTCGCAGGCATCGAAGTCGGCGTAACAGCAGGATCGAACGCTGGGGCGAGACCGACTGCGGATATTCTTGATGAACACCAATTCTAAATTGGATTATAGGTTTCTGGGGTTTATTTTTGGTAAAATTCATAGATTCTTTTTGGGCTTCATTTTAATCAGAAATACTGTGTTTATTGGAGTTTGCTTTTAGCGTATCATCGCGAGAAAATGACCACTTAAAATTGGATGAAAATAAGCAGTGGGTTAACGTTCAAAGTGTGACCAGAAAAGTTTGAAAAATATTGTAGCTAGGCGGGTAATGCAAAATCTTCCAAGGAATATGAAAGCCTGTTTTTTCGTGGTCTAATCCCACAACTTGTCACACATGCTGCTGGAATGTAAAAGTTGGTTTGCAGTTTGCGACGGATTTCTCAAAGTAAAATTTCAGACGTACTTTGATTATTCGGACGTTTTTGCAAAACCGTCAAGTACTTTTCTTTTATTTTGTTTGTTTGTGTGTGTGTGTGTGCGCGCGTGCTTGCGTGCGTGCGCGCGCTTTTTTGATTACAGTGATGTCTCGATAATATATGGACACCTCCGTTCCTTCTAAAAGTTGTCCATAATGTGAATTGTCATAATGAAGAAACAAAAATTTATGTATTTATTTAGCCACTGTTGGTTGGTTATTGGCGCCACCGTGGCCAAATGAGGCAACACTGGGACGGCTAAAATAGACAGCGCCGCCGGCGGCCAAATCTGAGCGTTATGCTGTGGCGCACTACACTGTCGACAGTTTTAAAAATGTATCAAACGTTAAATATATTGATGTGTGGGCATCTGTGGTTCTAGCATTAGGGAGTTTTAGTAGGTGCTTTCTTCAATAGGTTGAGACAACACAAAACGGGAACTAGCAGAACCTGAATTGAACGCCCTGATATACGGCCAAATTTAAAGGGGCGGTGCAATGATTGTATGATTAAAAGAATTTGCATCTCGTCATTTTTACGTTGTTTATCGTGTCCCAGAGGATACAGAAAACACTTCCTTCATTAAAAATGTCGCGATTCCGCTGCATAATCGCAAAGCAAAAGTCGAGCTTTTTCCCCCACCTGCAGCCCCAAGTGGCAGCCGAAGGAACTACGGCGGAAAGATTACGTGACCTCGCTCGGCTCTAAGCCGCAGCATTCCCCCGAGAAGTTCGCGTGGCGCCCCCTTACGGCGAACCGGGGTGACGTCACGGCGAGGAGAGAATTTTTCCCCGACTCGCCCCGCTCGCCCTATGGAGGCTGTGACGACGCTAGCTGTCGGCGCGCTCGTTTATATTTAATTTTTTTAGGCGTGTTTTCCGTAGGAAGTGTAAATTTTTATGAGCCTTTATTTAGGTATGGCCTGTAGCTACAGGCGAAACTTCAACCAACATTTTAAGCATGCTTGACAGGGCAGGCAACGCATGAATCGCAGCTGGTATATGAAAATAAACAAATATGGCCACAATTGCAGGAGCATCATTATAGATTTACATCTCTCACAATAAATGCTGTTGGTCTGAATAAATTGGCAGGTTATGTATACTATTTTTCTTTTGTATCTCTGTTTTTAAACAAGGACGCCGAAGCAGAAAAGCTGCATGCTCCTCGAGCAACATGCTAAATACAGTCTGGGCCATGGGGAGAGAATCACAAGTAAGACAGCCCAAGTGCAAAAGCAAAGTAAAAAAAAAAAAAAAAAAAAAAAACAAGGAACATTTATTATATACATTGCTCGCATCTAACCTTTGCTGGATTCGGATAGTATTTCAAAGGACTACTCGGGTGATATTTGTGGACTTGTTTTATATCAACCCTCAAGTAATGTATAACAAACGTAAGCGAAGGTGTCTAGCTCGTTATTAGTCCCTGAAGCCCTAAAATTGAGATTTTACTTAAATCGGAGTGTCCTGAAGCTAAAATACCATAAGCTTTTCTCACGCAGACTGTCGCCCTTCACATGTTCCACATTTTCTGCTACTAGTGCTGCATCTACCGCTGGACAGTCGTTCGAATGCTTGCTTTTACTCCTGTTTTGCTCTGTTGTCAGAGTGTCCAGCTGTAGGGAGTTTGAAGGCCGAGGAAGTCTTTGGGGACCTGTAGCAGTCTGTTTTAATTGGAAATGACAATTCAGACTAAACCGTGTGTTTTTTAATACCCAAGGCTGCAATAAAGAATGTCAGGGAAAAGTATAAACATTCCAAATTACAGCACTATTGCTGTGCATATTTTTGGGCAGTTTAATACATATCATACAGGCACCTGGGGGCAATTCGGCCGTTTTTGCTGCGACCATAAAAACTAATTTCCAGTAATTGTGCATCTTCTAAGAAATATGCCTGCATACGTGTATAAGCTATATAATTAATTCACGAAGAAGCTACATTTTTGTAAAACAGCCCTGTTCCACGAGCACTTCAAAGATGATCGGACACAGGGCCTTTAAAACATCTGCGAACCAGCGCATGCAGAGTGGAAGCGCAGAGTCGGGGTCGCGAGCTAATTTGCCGACCACTCAAAGGCCCATGATATAAATGCCACTTCAAATGCCTTGAAAGCGGGATGTAATATCGTCCTAAATCATGAACAGGCAAGGAACAGAATTCTAGCGTCTGAAACACTCGCGCCACCGCTTCACCGACCCCTCGCAAGATTGCCTTGCGTCGTGTGGGCGGGCGGAAAGGTTCAATGGCGGAATTGCCTCCTCCGATAGCTTTCGGAATTTGTAACCCAATTTTAAAGGTAAAAGGGACGAGCAGGCTTATAAAATGTACGGAACCACGTCAATATAGGCCTAACTCAACGTCTTGTACACCGGGTAAACGAAGTCCAGCTCCTCGAAGAGCTTACGGCACACAACGCCAAACCGGTGCTGGGAAGCGAGCCGAGGCGAGATCGCGGAGCGGTGTACTCCCCCTGACGTCACGGTACACCTCACCCAATCAGGGCGCGGCGACCGCAGCGACGCTTGTGTTCGCTCTCGGGGCTAATAGCGCCCGCTAATGCACGCAGAGAGAGGGAGGGGAAGCGTCCTCCGAGATAGCACACGGGAAGCTACACGGCACTCCGAATGACGTCACTGGGAGTGCGACCAGGTGTGACCCTGAAGACTGGGAGTGAGTTGAGGGGTGCCCGAAATGCCAATCTTTATCTTTTTTTTTACGCAACAACTAGGACACACAGGCGAAATCGGTTTTCTGTTCTTTACTTCAGAAGTGTCAGGGGGCAACTTCCAGAAATCTTTGACCAAAGTCCGAAAATCGTTGCACCGCCCCTTTAAGTGGACGTAAGCAGACAAATGCAGTTCTTTTCTTTTTTACGTTGTTTGCGCGTGGCTCAAAATCAGAGAACCGAAGACTTCGTCGACCTTCCCTCCTTTTCGAAAGCGGAACTAAGAGCGTCCCACCCCCTCCCTCCACCCTTACCCTGCCCTTACATACCTTTTTTTTTTTTTTCTTTTTTGTTCCAACTCTTCTCGCGTGAATAGCTGACCTCATTTTGTGGATCAGCTTGTTTCCCGTACCCTCGTCGTGTTGAAGACAACTAATACCCCTGTCAAACGGGCACGTTAAATGGCATTTAAGCAAAATGACATTATAGCTCGGCCAATCCGCGTGTTTAAAGCGCGAAACACATGTACGACGAAACCGTCCGATCCGACGTACGACCGCGCAATACGACGGTCGGAGGCGAGGGTTTTCAACGCTCTCCGATGCTACGAAAACCCTCTCCCCCCAAGGTCATTCCGGCAGTTCGCACGTCGGATCGGAAGGTTTCGTCGTACATGTATTTCGCGCTTAATACGCCACGCTGCGCGTGCACCCGCCACGTGCAGAGCCAGCATCACGAGCCGATTCGCCAAGCGGTGAATGACATTCGATCAAAATGGCATTTACTTTCCCATGTGTTTTTCGTGCAAGCTGCCTGTAGTTTGGACGGTGTCGTACGCAGTTGCTCGTCGCAAGCTGATGCTCGTTTTCGTCGATTAAATATGTTGTTCTCTTTTATACACTTTAAGCACAAATAAACAACGAATGGATTACTCTTTCTCGCGGTGCTCGTACTTTTTTTTATTATTATTTCTTGAGTAGACCGTTTCCTTGCAGCGGGGCCGAAGTTAGAACCGCACAGACACGGATCGAAATAGAGTAACCATTTTGGGTAGCTACGCGATCACGCTAAAGGCGCAAACGACAGTCCGCTCTGCAACCGGCGAAGCGTTAAAAAACGCTCACTCCGGTAACGCTCAAACATCCACAAAGCATCGTTCGGACGAGATATGTCTGCGGAGCAGAGGGCAATGAGAATGTCAAAGGACTAACCTGACTTTAGAGAGTCGCTTCGAATGCAAAGACAACGCCGAGAGACGAGCGCATTAATTTCAAATATCGAGTTAAATAGCACATCTAGAAACCCATCTCAAGTCAGGCAGTGCGAACACAATGCTTATTTTACACCTTTTACGGCATTTATTAATCTCCGACGGCGTTGTATTTCCCACGATCTCGACGGGAACCTGCGGAGCTTCACGCCTGCTAAGCTTTCGGGTTGCGACAGTCCGGTACGCAACAGTGCCTGCAACTTCGACGTTTGCTTTTCTGCGACATCCGATAGTAATGTTAAGATTAAAGGACGAAAAACGCACGAATCAACACCCTCGAGGTGATGCGTGAACAGCCCCACGAACAAGCAGGCTGGCGAAACGGCCTTCCCAGTGTTGCAAATATATGCAACCAAACTTGATATAAATAAACGGGGTCCAGGTTAACGAGACATCACTGTATTGATATTTCTTGAATAAATCCGAAGTAAATATTTACAAGTTTTTTTTTTTTTTTTTTTTAATTATTTTATCTATGCTCGTTTTGAACTCAAGAATTATAGTAAAAAGAGTCCGGCTCTTCGCGGAGCATTACTAATTTTCCTCTTTATGTTGATTATTAAGATATATGTAGGTTCACTTTAAATTACATATTTGTTATCTTATCAAGACGTACACGTTACAATCGCCAAAAGTATCGCTTCTTCCCCCGATCACCAAGTCTTGTAAGAACTATTTCGCCGGGCGTATGAACAATGCGCAAGACGTCCTTTTTCTTGAGGTGAAAACAAGTATAAATCGTCAGAGGGTACACAAGAAAAAAAAAAAATGAATAGAGTAGCCTCTTTTCAGGACCACCGACCCAAAACTTCTTTTCCCGCTTTTTTTTTTTTTTTTTACTGTGATTTTGGTTTTGTGATAAATTCAAATTGGCAAAAGATTTACTGGCTAGTGTTTCCGGGTATTTCCGGTAATATCTAAAAACCCGGAACCCTAATTATAAAAACTGAGGGAAACACATGATACTTCATTTTACGGCTCTAATGGGCTGAAGTTTAACCTGTGCATGGTTCATACGCTGCACAAAGCCGTTCTTAAAGACTGGGTTGTCACAGAAAGTAATATTTTTTGTTGTTGTTGTTGTTGTTGTTTTTTTTGGCATTTGAAATGTGCACATTTTGATAATATTAGAAATAGCTGATCCTAAATGCTCATACAAGTATACTAATTCCCCACATTAAGGGGACATCGCAACATTCTGTGAGGAGCCAAACTTTTTCAGTGTGGCTATTGAGGTTGAAACGAGTACAGAGAGTTTAATTTAGCGTCTTAGCTGTTGTAGATGTAACAATCTGTTTCTGATACGCCTGCTGTAATGCATCACTCTTTCAGTGAATGAACTCGACTGTGACCAACTGCAACAGCTGTGTGCTGAACTCGCCCTGCTTATCAAACGTAAGCATATGTTCAAATCAGTGAATATTAGCTTAATGATAATCTTGGGAGTAGAAGGAATTATAGAAAACATCAAAGTAGGCTTGAGTGTACATGTATCGGGGGGGTATTTGAACTGTCTAGAAAGACTTGAAAGTAGAAAACTGGACAAAGACAACATTACTTTGGCTGTTATGAAACATTGTGTACTAGCTTAAAATGCCGAGCAAGTGCCCAATCAAAATTGTGAGGTAGTTTGGAAAAACTGGAAGGTGGGTACTTGTTAGCTCCGAGAGCAAAAAATTCATAAGGGGCACAGGATAGGCTAGGTTTCCCCACTTTGCACTGGGGTGCTTGGAGAAACGGCTGATGAGGAGTATCTAGGTGGACCCAGAGGTATGGGATGGGTGCTTGATATGATCTTTGCATTGTTTTCAGACATTTTAAATGTAGCTTAGGCGAACACCTTGCGTGGCTTGGGTGCATGTTCGGTATTTTACGGTACAGAGTTACAATAGATATAAAGTTTCTAAGGGTGGATGGAGAGGAGTCATGATGTCGGGATTATTGTTGGGTAATACAGTCCTGTGCATGGTGTCATAAATTCAAGCTTTGAACTCGGGTAAAAGAGAGTAGGCAGGTCGGCATTGAGAGCCCTCGGGAACTCCAAATGCGGGAGTACGGGGGGGATATAGACTGGATATATATTTTGAGGGTGGAGAGGCCATCATAAAACTACCGTAACATCCTAAAGATAGCCCACCTAAAATCTAGATCAAATCGGGTTAAAATAAGGAGCGGGCTCACTTTTGGTGTACAATCAAGGAAAGTTGAAAAAACGCTAAATTTGCCATACTTGTTATCGCAACAAGGGACAGTCAAGCAAAGATGACTCTACCTCCCAGTCGGCAATGTTCGCTTATATCCCGCCATAGCTAACTATACCTCGTTTCAGCTTAAGTCCAGACGCAGCCGATGCTACAAGCGCGAGTTCCGGGTTCTCAATGTCCCTGCCAAGCACGCGTGCTTGTGCTGTGCTAGCACCGTTCAGGGCCACATGCTCGCTCTTGTAGCATCGGCTGCGTCTGGGCTTAAACTGAAACGAAGTATTGCCGCATTTACGCCGAGGCAATCATTGATCCGAACACTACAACGACTGGGAGTGGGCTATCTTTCGGTGTTTAAAAGTAAATATCAAATCAAGCCAAAACATAGGGGTGGGTTACTGTAAGACCCTTTATGTTGGTGGCCCTGATTTTTCACGAACTGGGCAGCGGGGTCATATTCGCGACCATTAAATTTCGCGATATCTAAAGGCTGGAATTTGCCTCCATGGACAATCGAAATATTCGCGCCCACTTAAGGTTTGTACAGTATCTTTCGGGGGTGGAACATATCTCTCGAGATGTTACGGTAAATTTTGGCAAAAGACTGACCATAATAAGGGATAGATTGTGGGTGGGAGAAGTACTTCATGTACCTATTTGCACATGAAAAGTTCAAAATTAAGGAGTGAAACCTATACGCTGAGATTTAAATGCTTGCAGACTAGTGATCTGGCTGGTCAAACTAGTAGCTCTGTGAAAATGGAACAGAAAACACCCGAGAGGCAGATTTGCGAGGGAAGAATGGAAGGGAAATCAGGCTATGTCCAGGTCACGATCGAAGAATAAGACAACAGAAAAAAAAAGTACATTTCGTAATTTACTGTCTTCGATACTGTTTGAGGCCAAAATTAAAGTGTTGAGAACCAATACATACAAAAAATATATACACATTGCACAGTAAACTAAAAAAAAAAAAAGGAAACAGTAGAGCCTGTGGTTTCAGAAGGCACAGGGTCTGGTTCAGCTTACCCGGAAGGGGAAACGGCCTACGCATGTGGAGGGAGCGCTTGGATTTGCTGAAGAGGATGAAAGAACCGATGATAAAAGAATAGCAGTCCGGAGGAGAAAGTTAAAAAGGTCGAGAGAAGTATAAACTTACTCGCAGCATTGATGGTTACAGTGATGGTGGACTTTATAATGAATGAAATAATTCAGGACAAGATTTAGGAGGGTCCAAGTGCTCCGGGCTAGGTTTTAAAAGCTACCGCCTGGTAGAACGGGATAGGAACAACCCACCAGCAGGCATCCATCTGCTGACCTTAGTTGTTTCTGGGAAGTGACCTAAATGGAGATGTAGTGAGTGTGTAAGAACAATCTAAATAAGTTACATGTGCTCATAAAAAAGCTTGCTTTTCATGCATATTTTTAGGATTGAATGTGAACACAAGTTTGTAACAGCTGTACCTGGTGCCACATCTTTGCCGATGCAGTGAAACTGATATTTCTAGCACATATTTTTATTAAGATCACAGCATTATTTGAATGCAATATGCAGGCAAAATTATTTTGGTCCCAATTGAGGCATTGCTGTCACTGTTCATAAGCGAACATATGAACAGTCGTGCTTCATAAAATTAACTGGGGAGAGCAATTCCTTATTTGGCGAATATTTTATAAGGACAGGCCTCGTTTCAGGGATGATGCCATTATGTTATATTTATTATGCCTGCAGTAAAATAAATGCAGCCAAACTCCGTTTGAATCAGTTTATATAGGCCTCCAAAATTAGGAAGTTGTGAGCAGGGAGAGGTGGCTGAACAGGAGGGGCTGCGAGAAAACAGACCTTTACTGTAAAGACGCATAATGCTTTGGTAGTGCTCCTTTCTATTCCTCAGAAGAAACCATTTCTCAAATGTAAATTGTTTCTTCTAGAGATCTCATTTGAGCTGGCACCATTGCTCGAAGAGCACCACAATCTTCAGGAAGAAGTGGATGCCCGCAACGTAGTCATTCATCAGCTTCTGAAGCTCACCTGCAAGCAAGCCGAATTCCCACACCGTCCCATCCAGATGTCGGTGATATTCCCGGACAATAAGGCCGAGGCCCTCGTTTCGGACGCTGCCTCGGACAATTGAAATTCGACTGGTGCTGCCTGCTTTCGACTATCAGGGAACATGCTGGAGGTCTTGTGCCGTTGTAGCGTTTCTGCAGAGAAGCAACTTTGCTCGTATCTTCAAAAGAGTGGGTGCGGCTTTCTCACTCGTTGAAGTACAGCGGCGTTACGTTTGCTATTAAAATAACTGCCCTTAATTGCCCAGTTTTTTTTTAATGTCTGCTATGGTTTGAGCCACCATGAGCAGGTTGTATATAGCCTAGGGAAAGAATTTTGAGCACATTAAAGGAATCGCACTCAACATGCTGATTTTTTGTGTTGCTTTTGAAGCCCTTGGAGTGTCTGCGATATGCGACACATCGCCAGTGCGTGGCACGCTCCCTGTCGTTTGACAGACGAAGTCATCACTGCAAGGTCCTACGATCTATTGGCAAGTGCTGTATAAGAGTATCCTGTTCGGACAAGTTTGTTTCTACGATCATAATTACAACTGCCCAAGCAATTAAAAACAGGAAAAACAACTGTCCCGCTCGCACTGCCCGTCGTTTGAGTGGCAGGTTGGCTCTCGCCTCATTCTCTGAAAAGGTTCAAACCTATATGAACCTATCTCATTGTTTGCACTTGCTAATAATGTAAATAATTTTTTTTTTTTTTTTTGGGGGGGGGGGGGGGGTTTAAGGAAAAAAAAACGTTACTTACATTACCAGCAAGTGCAAACAATGAGATCAATTGCCTCTTTCTCACACTACTGTGGCAAAGGCAGTGGTAACGCGAATTGTATTGCGTGTTGCTCTGCAGTGGTGTTGCGCAGAGGAACATAAAACACGTTTTTCAACTATGTCATTTAACCAGCTCGCCTGCACACTTTCCCTTCTGACGTTTTTATGCCTGGACGGCGCAAACATTGTTGTGTGTAGCACCTTCGAAAAAAAAAAAAAAAACAGCATTTGAGTAAATTACATTTAAAATGTGCTTGAAGTAAGGTACAAACTAAATTGGAGGTTGTGTACTTCAAGCAAAGTAGTAAGTACACCAGTACCATAAATACTATGTACTTTCAAAATAAAGTATGAGTACTTTTTAACACAATCTTTCATCACTCTGCAATAGCTGTATTTATTATTATTATTTTTCTTTTTAGCTGGTATATATTGCTTTAGGGATCCGGAAATGGTGGCGAATATTGAATAAAGTCAAGTGGCCTCAGAGTTGTTTTAGTCTCACTGACGAACATATTTAACACAATCAACTTATAAGCTACTTATTTGTTGGCAAATATCCTTTTGTGATAAAAATTTAACAAGACCAGTTTTGGGGAATTATAGGGCGTCTGAAATAACCAGGCTCGACCCAAAAAGGGCCGTAAAAATCGGGCGCCTGCGGTAGCACGTGCGCAAATTCTCGATTGCATAACACAGATTTGTCGGAGCTCTTCCGACAGTCACTTCCACATGCCACCTGCGTTGCGCCAACGTAAGCCGCAACGCTCCCGGCGCTTGGAACGAACACCACACACGTCGTCGAGCTATTGATGCTATGAAAACGAGCGTTGCGTTTAATGATAATCGATTACACCTACCTGCCCGTTTTTTTTTTTGTTTTTTTTTATTTGACGTCGCTATGTATAATGGAAGTTGTGAAATCGGAATCATTTTGACCGACACAAAATCTCAACATTTTGTGTTGTGCCGTCCGTTATTTTATTTCTGTGTATCCTAGATTTTATCTGAACAAGCATATTTTGCTAAATTAAGAATTTATATTTAATATTTTAATTATTTAATGTGGTTTACAAGATTGTTTTGTTGAAAATGTTGCCATGCTCAATAATGTGGTCTGGCCACTCTGGCAATGCTCCGAAACTCCACAAACATAATAGAACACGTAGAGAGGTATAAATACCTAGGAGTGCGGCTGAATGAGGGTAAACAATACTTACAAGAAGAGGGAGAAAAAATGCTAAAGAAATGAAAAAAAGGAATGCACTATGGAATTACAATAGATATGAAGCTAGGGGAATATGGAAAAATGTCAAAAATACCGGGTTTTTTTTTTTTTTTTTTTTTTTGTAATGCGGTATTATGTATGAATTCTGAGGTCCAGTTGAGCTTAGAGATCCGGCAGAGGAGCGTGGGCAGACTGGCACTGGGGCGTGTGGGAATCTTTCGAGGCTAGAAGGGGCGATCAGTAGTTGAATTTGAACAAAGACTAGACGTAATTGAGGATACACGATGGACGAGAAAAGGTATATAAGCATCTGTACATGAAAAGTTTGAACATTAAATGGACAAACCGAACCCGAAAACAAAAATTCAAATACCAACAGTCAAGTGCGCAGAACAGACTATACCTCTGTGAAAAAGAAAGTAAAAGAAGCCGAGAGAAAGATAAGGGAGGAAACAATGCAGGGAAAATCAGCTTTAATTATGTATAGAAGACGAAAACGGGAGATAAGGAAGGAACATTGGTGTGATAATTCACGGGGAGCGTTGTTATTCGAAGCTAGAACAGGGGTATTGAGGACAAAGTATGAGGAAATCGATACGCGTTGTGCCGCATGCCGAGGGGAGGACGAGACAATAGAACATGTGCTGTTGAGGTGCACAGGGCTTGCTCCCGCCCTCCCGGAGGGGGCGACGGATTGGGCCGGAGCGCTGGGGTTTGCAGACGAGAATGGATAAGTGAATTTTAATTACAAAAAGAAGATTGGAAGACTGGTGGAAATTGTCTAGGGAGAACTGAATAACGTACAACTAGCTGACACAACTGGGGACAAGCGGGACAGAGGAAAATTGGGACTCCCCCCCGCGTGGCTCCCCGCGCCCCAAAGTCTCCGCCCTGCCTTCCAGTGGGCCCAGTGCCGTGGCAACGCCGACTTGGTTTGACCAGAGGAAAAATGGCGACCCCCTTGCCGGGAGGAAGAGGCGGGGGGTGAAGCTTTTAGTTTTTTTACTCGATTCCTCAAATGTCATCCTGGTGATATTCTACACCGCCTGGTGATAGTTACGAAATTGCAGAGGGTAAGCAAATTGGCAAAGGAAAGAAATCAAACTTTTACTTCTTAACTTCTAAGCTAGGTGGCGCGAGGTACCGCCCGATATAAAAGGTACAGCCGTTAGCATCCATCCATTCTATCCGAAAAACACCGAGGTTCGGCCGTTCTTCTGAAACTTTCCGAAACCTCTGTTTCGGGTCCGAAACTTGCTTCAGAAAACGCTTCGCCCCAACACTAGCTTTTTTTTTTTTTTTTTTTTTTTTTTTTTTTATTGTTTATTTGGTTGTGGCCGCGGCCAACGTTGCCGCGGCCGCGAGTGCAATCGAAAGAAAGATTGAGTGCGCCCTGAATGTCGCCATGACGACAACGCCACGTGCGTTGCCCTTTCAGTTACGAAAAGCCGCAAATTTCATTCCAGCGTGCTGGAATGAAATACTTGAATACATTTTGTGACAAGTGGTTGGTCACAAGAGCTGTCAATCATCGCGCCAAAGGTCATTAAAACTATTTAGGCTAATGACGTGGCTTTACCATACTCTCAACATTAACGGCTCCGGTGCCAGCTAAAGTTCCAGGTTAGTTACAGCTAAAGCCCGGCCTGGTTCCGGCTTGCTTTTAAAAAAGAAATATCCTAAGTGCCCGCGTCGACCGTTGTCTTTTAATGTGAACATAACCTTTTAATGCGAAAGCATTAACTGTAGCCATGGAGAGAACCGGCGCTATCAGTTTTTGAAGCCGCGCCAAACGGCACCTAAATTCCCATCCCAATGGAGCGAAGCCATGTCATTTGTAGCAGCGATTTGATGGATAGGCTCCTGTTGGCTGGCGAGCGTCGTAGTCTCAAGAAACGAGGATCCCATTAGCTAGCGCGCGTCATAGTTTCAAGGAACGCCAACCCATGGCGCAGCGAGCCAGGAATACGACGGCTCGGCCGCTTCTGTTCCTCTCGACGCGGACGAACATGGCGGCGTTTCAAGCATCTACAGGGTGCGGCCGTAAAAACTTTCACATTTGGCACGCCTAGCAAAAATCGAATTTCAAACGTACATACCTGAAACTGGGCACACGAACGTCGTTTATTCTAAAGTTTTTTGCCTATTTTTTTCAGACGTCAACTCGGGAGTAGCGAATTATTAGAATGATGACAAAAATGGCAGACGTGCATTTCTTATGGCCTATACCCGCCCGTTCGCCGTCTGCTATCTAATTCGCGACGCCGCTCCCAGGTGGCGCACTGAACGCAAAAACGCAGGAAACGCCGCACGAAAGGCTGGTGTCGAGCGAGATAATCGTGATAAAAAGTGATTTTACCGAAATATGTGAATGATTATGCCCTTTTACTTGAAATTTAGAAACTGGCGGACGCCCTCGTTTAATAAAAATATGTTCTAAAGCAGACGAACGTGTGTCTTCCTTTGTCGTCTGCTTATTTGTTGACGGGTCCGTTCCCGGTGAAAGCTCAACTTTGGAATCGAGAGTGCCGCTGCTGAGGCACCTTGATTGTTCCCATTTATTGTTTTTGTTGCACTATCTTCTGCAGTTATGATCAAAATATTTTCCGCGCCGCCCTGTGATGCCGCAATACTCGGCAAGTGAGTGTGCCCAGGCAGTCAAGTGGTACGTGGAGCGGAACTCCGTGGCCACAGCACAGCGAAAATTTTGCACAGCATTTCCTAAACGCCCGCCTTCACGCCCGACTATTTTGACTTGGGCGAATCGTTTTACGAGTGGAGAAGAATCCAGTCAGTGAACGTGAGAGCCTGCTGAAAAATGAGGAGCTCATTGAAGCGGTGCTTGCTGTCTGCAAGAGCGACCCGCAATTGTCAACAAGACAAGCAGCCGTTGTTTGGAATTTCGGAAAAAAGCGTACGACGGATTCTGCGGAAAAATAATTTGCGCCCGTACAAGATGCAAGTTGTCCAAGCCCTGTACGACGGCGACAACGTCCGACGTTTAGAATTTTGCAAGGCGGAGTTGTTGTGAATTAAGAGCAACCCAGGGCACCTGCAATTTCTTTTATTTAGTGACGAAGCAAACTTTCACCTAGATGGACGTGTGAACCGCCAGAATATGGGCTCGCGATAACCCTCATGCAGTGGACGAACGGCATCTCCATTCACCGAAGGTGACAGTGTGGAGTGGGATTCGGCGTGAAGGCATATATTCGATGGCACCGTTAACGCAGATGCCTACTTGGACATGCTAAAAACGGAAATGCTCTCTGAGCTTGAAAGGTACCACATGACAAAAGAAAACTGTATATTCATGCAGGATGGGGCGGCTCCCCATTACGCAAAGAGTGTGAG